TACGTACCACTTAATGGCAATATTGGCTTCTAAGTGGTTTACAAGTATGAAAGCCAGCAACACAGATATTAAAATATAAACATCCATACTTAAGAGACACACTGAAACAATCCCATTAAAGCATTAAATATAAGCACCCATAATTAAAATGGGGGGGGGGGACAATTCCATTAAAACAGTACACCAATTAAAACAAGAGATGAGAGGTCAAAGGTGGAAAGATCATAGGAATGCCTGTGTAAATAGGTGCATCTTCCAAAGCCGGCGGAATGCCAGTGCAGATGGAGCTTCTCTCATTGGACGCTAGCTCCCATCCTCCCTGGCCATTGGCTGTGCTGGCTGGGGTTGATGGGAGTTGGAGTCCAGAAACATCTGGAGGGCCCTAGGTTGGGGATGGATGTTTTCAGGGAGGGAAAGGGGAGGAAACCACTGTTGGCTCCTGGTTTTCCAGGGCAGGTGGGCATTGTGCTCTCAGCAGGCTCTCGTTCCCTGAATGTGTTCTCCACCTCCTCCTTATCACTGTCATTGCTGCCCACTCCTATCTTTCTCTCCACCCATTCCACACCAACTCTCAAAGCAGGCAAAGGCTGCTGCTCTATTCCCCAGCTACTCATATGAAGAGAGAGCAGAGGTAAGCAAGCAGCACATTGAGGAAAGAGTGGACCAGGAAGCTCCAGGGATTGGCAATGGGCCCTTACTGGTGTGGGGGCCTTGGCTGGTGCCCAGTGATGTCAGGCCCTGCTGCCAGCCCTGGAGGAAGCACTAGGGGTGAATCGGAACCAATGTAGTGTCAAGAACTTTGGACTGTGTCCAGTGTTTACGGTTGTTGTTGTTGTTGTTGTTTGGTCGTTTAGTCGTGTCCGACTCTTCGTGACCCCATGGACCAGAGCACACCAGGCACTCCTGTCTTCCACTGCCTCCCGCAGTTTGGTCAAACTCATGCTGGTAGCTTCGAGAACACTGTCCAACCATCTCGTCCTCTGTCATCCCCTTCTCCTTGTGCCCTCCATCTTTCCCAACATCAGGGTCTTTTCCAGGGAGTCTTCTCTTCTCATGAGGTGGCCAAAGTATTGGAGCCTCAGCTTCAGGATCTGTCCTTCCAGTGAGCACTCAGGGCTGATTTCCTTCAGAATGGAGAGGTCTGATCTTTTTGCAGTCCATGGGACTCTCAAGAGTCTCCTCCAGCACCAGAATTCAAAAGCATCAATTCTTTATGGTCCAGCTCTCATTTCCATACATAACTACTGGGAAAACCATAGCTTCCTATTGAAATGACTAGTCCTAACTTAGTTCTATTAATTCAGCAGGTCTACTGTGAGTCAGGCTTAGTTGGGTGCAACCCTCTATTTTGGTGAGTAAAGGTTTGCTTGCTTGTTTGGAGTATTGGTCATTAATTTGCAAGATAGCATGGATATCTAGCTATATAAGTTCTCAGGGGAAATTTCCCCATCTCTGAGGAGGTTGCCATTTTCCACCATGTCATAGGCCGCAGGTTAGGCTCAGCTATATCTCCCAGCTCCTCACTCTAGTGAAGATTTCTGTTTAGAAAGAGACTCGCGAGTATTGAAAGACCCATACTGCAGCTGCTGCCTCTAGTTGCAGTCACCAGGCTGTGAAACATTGCACTGTGGGATGTGTCAAGCCACCTGCCCCTTCCTCTCTGTGGAAAGGTCCCCTCCACTTCGGGTGCTGACAATGCAGCCTTAGGACACTTGCGTCAAAAGCTAATATGCTGTTTTCGCAAGGCTGGTTGCACAAAACTCATGAGCTTATTTGTTTCAAGTCAGGACAGCTATTTACAAGCAGCAAAAGAAAGAGAGGGGAAAGGAAGGCATCAAATATAAACCAGGGGCATGGTCTTAGAGGGTTCAGTTGTCTTCTTCATTATTATCATTATTATCATCTGCAAACATTTCCATACTGCTGACATTAAGGGAAAGTATCCCCCCAGTGAACAGCATAAGGGGGAGATGTAGATAATGCTAGACCTATTCAGCCCAGTATACCTGAAGGAGTGTCTCCACTCCCATCGTTTGGCCCGGACATAGAGGTCCAGCGCCGAGGGCCTTCTGTCGGTTCCCTCGCTGCGAGAAGCCAAGTTACAGGGAACCAGGCAGAGGGCCTTCTCAGTAGTGGCACCCGCCCTGTGGAACGCCCTCCCACCAGATGTCAAAGAGAAGAACAACTACCAGACTTTTAGAAGACATCTGAAGGCAGCCCTGTTTAGGGAAGCTTTTAATGTTTAGCAGACCACTGTATTCTAACACTTGGTTGGAAGCCACCCAGGGTGGCTGGGGAGACCCAGCCAGATGGGCAGGGTATAAATTATTATTATTATTATTATTATTATTATTATTATTATTAGCACTGCAACCCCATTTGCCTTTGGCTGGACTTAACCATCCAGGGGTTAAGTCCAGTTCCATGTACCTTTATGTTTACCTGAGCAGCCTAAGCAAAGCCCTGCTACACCTCCGGTCTCTTTGGGGTTTCCTCTGCCCTCACCTACATCCTCTGCAGGCTCCTCCGATCTCAGGAAGGGTCTCCTCACAAGCCACGAGGGCTCTCCAGCTCTCTCCTGCCATTTCCTGGTTTGACTCTATTTCTATCCTGGCACTATGCATATACACGGTTGCGTACGAGGGAATAGTGCATAAGTGAGGAGGACGCCTGTATTTTAAATAGTCGTAACCCGCCCTGAGGGTTATAAATTGAGCAATAATAACGAAATCTCTCCCATAACTACTTGCATTGTTATAAATTTAAATTTTCAGTTATAATGCAGGGGGAAAAGGCATAAGTTTGGATATATTTCTGGGACTCAGCCATGCTTCAACAGTTGGCAGCAGTAATGAAAGAGGGGAAATTGCATGAGGGGAGAGGGATCTTGTCCTCAGATTCTAATTGTGGTTCTTCCACAGGCATCTGGTTAGCAACTCTGGGGATAGGATACTGGGCTAAATGGGCCATTGGTCCAATCCAGCAAGTTCTTCTTATGATTCATGTTCAACATTGAGTGACGCACATTTCAGCCACATTTATAAGCTGTAGGTCTTCTGATTGGATTTCTTCTTTTGGGAAACAAAGTAAAGGGACACTGACAGTGTTTTTTTTTTTGTGGTGGAGTTACTTGACAACTGGCATCCTGTGATTTGTTGAATTGTGGTCAAGATTAATTTCCCTCTCCCCCTCAAAGACAAAAAAAATAATAATACATGGAGAACATGGATTAATTATCCACAATAGCCTTGATTGTTTTTGAAGCACAAAATCAGTAGTACAACACAGACCTGTATCATGGCTGCACATTGGTTGCGGAACTGTCTCTTGGGCCTGTTGTGGAAGCTCTAGCTGGTACAGGATGCGGCTGCTAGACAGGGGGTGGGCAGATGGTCAACCAGATATGAACCTCTTGCTAAAACATCTGCATTGTCTGCCAATGTGCCACTGGATGAGTTTCAAGGTTCTTGTGTTGATATGAAAAACCCTTGAAAAACAAACAAACATGGGTATACTTTTAGGACTGCTCGACCCTTTCTATCCCAGCTCAATTTCTGAGATCATCCACCTCCACCCCACCCCAGTGGCAGTGGCTAAATGTAAGATGTGATTAATAAACTCAAGCAGACAATGATCTAGATTAGAAATGGCCACAACTTTATTGATTACAGATATAGGTGGGGTTTTGGCTCAGGCATTGGGTGTAGATCCGTTCCAGCCCCCACCCCCGACAATAACAAAAATTCTTTAATTTAAAAAAGGTTAGGAAATTCAGCGCCCCCCCCCCCAAGTTCCTACTCAAAAACAACCCTGTTGTTAATGGTCTTTTATGTTTTATCACTATACATCACCCTGATATTTTATGATACAGCAGAATAGAGGTGGTGTGGATGTTGTTGTTTTTTACAAATAAATAAACCCAGTGCTAGCTAACATTCTTGAACCAGCGACCTGTTCCATCTACTTCTCTATTACCAGGAATGTGTGACTTTGGAGATGGTGGTTGGTGCAGAAGTTGGGGATTGTTGGTATTCATGACTTCTTGGGCTCTGCCATGACTGTATAGCTCCTGCATATAGGCAAATGGGTTTTCCGTCATTCACTTTGTGGCTGACCCACAGATCACTATTGCACGCTCATAGTTTGGCTTGCAGCTGAAGTGGATGAGACTGGTTGAGTGAGGAGCATTGCATGTACCCATGAGGGATGTTGCTCCGTGCATCAGAGAGGAAGATTTCAAGCATAACAAAAATCAGAAGACAGATAGGTAGCCGTGTTGGTCTGCCATAGTCAAAACAAAACAAAATTCCTTCCAGTAGCACCTTAAAGACCAACTAAGTTAGTTCTTGGTATGAGCTTTCGTGTGCATGCACACTTCTTCAGATACACACTACTGGAAGGAATTTTTTTTTGTTTTGAAAAATCAGAAGAGTACAAGAAGCATGATAGAGACCAATATTTGGGGTTGCATCTAATTCTTCTCAGAGTAGAGCCGTCCTTCAGTGCTGAATGGCATTGGGAGCCCCTTCTCACCCAAAGCTCTGTGAAGACATCAAAGCTATGCAGACCTTTGGATCATTCCACATATAGGGGTGTGTTGAAAACCTCTCCCTGGCAGGCAACACCCTTGGGGCACTGTGATCTTCGCTCGGGCAGAAGTGAGGAGACTTTTGCAAGGCCACTGACCAACTTCCCCCTCCAAACAATCCAAGTTTGTGTTTGCCAATCAGGGGGGGGAAAGACATGTGCTTTGAGCTATATTGAATTGTGACTTTCCCTCCTCTGAGTCCATGAAAATCTGGCAAACTTAGCATATGAATAATAGCTGGGAGCAGGGGTGGGGGGTGGGGTAGAAGCTGAAAAGAGCCAAGATCAAACAGATCAAGGGGCAATTTTCTTTTTCCCTCTAGGGGAAAAAAGGCCTTTAAGTCATACGAAAGTGCCTGTGCAGATTTAATATTTCCTCTTCTCTTCTCTTCTCTCTCTTTGCAAATGTCTAGATTTATTATAAAGTTATTAAAGAAATTGAACCCGGAGAAGAGCTGCTGATGTATATGAAAGAAGGTACTTATCCGACTGGGAACATCCCACCCAGTTTGGAAGGTAAGAATTGATACGCGAACACACTCTGCAACCTTGCCCCATTTCCTTCAAGACATGAAGCTCCCCAAACACGCACACAACGAGCCAAAAATGATGAAGGAGTTAGAAGAACTCACCTGTGAGAAAAGGTTCCAACATGTAGGGTGTTTTAGTTTTAGGAGCGAATAAGGGATTGGGGACATGATAGAGGTAATTATAATTACGCATGATTTGGCAAAAGTGGATAATGCTATAAAACCCTGAGGTGATCCAATGTAGCTGAATGCTGGACAATTCAGGTCAGAAAACAGGACTGGACTCATACACACCTTCCATAGTTGGAATTTTCTCCCCCAATATATAGTGATGGCCGGCAACTTGGATGGCTTTGAAGAAGGCAAACTCAAGGACGACAAGGCTATCAGTGTTACTAGCCACAATAGCTGTGTCCTCCCTCCACTGCCAGAGGCAATATGCTTCTGAATGCTGGTTGTTGGGAATCACAAGTGGGAAGAGGTGTCCTTCTTGTGGGCTTTTCATAATGGGCATCCGGTTGGCCACTGTGAGAACAGGATGCTGGACTAGACACTGCCTTGGCCCAGCGTGGCTCATGAAATGTATCATAAAGAGGAGGCCGCAGAGGGGATGCAAAGCATCGACACCTTTTTTTTTATCAAGCAGTTTGTGGAGGGAACAAATTGTGCAGCTTGCAATGCAGAACTGAAACGAAACTGAGAGCCGGCACCACAGTTCTTGGTATGGCAAGCCAAGAGAGCCAATGCACTAGAGTGTTTCTTTTCGGCTTGTTATTCTGCCCCATTGTGTGATTGCAGCATTTCCATCATGAGAGTGACGAGCTCTGCCAAGAAGTGGACTACAGTATCTGCATCCGCAAAGGGTGATGAGTTGGCAGCTATTTAATTCGTTTGCTTCATCCTCATTGCAGGAGAGCTATGCTGAGGAACTGATCTTTGGCATGTACACTACTCTCTGCTCTGTAAAATGCAATGCTTTTTGGCAGGGAGGCTGGGAGATTCCGCAGGCATGGTGGCTGCATCAGCAGCCTTGGGTGTGGACCTTTCTGCTTCTAATGTTGCCCTGTGGGCATGGGAAGGGCTGTAGCTCAAAAGCAGAGCATCTGTCTTGCATGCAGAAGGCTACAGGTTCTGTCCCCAGCACCCCCAGTCAGTGTAGGTAGACCAATGGGTTTGACTCAGTATAAGGCACCTTCCTATTTCCCCATGTCTTAAGAGAAGTTCCATAGCTCAGTGGTAGAGCACCCGCTTTGCATGCAGAAGTTCCCAGGTTTGATCTCCATCATCTCCAGGCAGGGCTGCCAGTCAGTGTAGGCAATACTGAACTAGATGGAAGAGCGGGTCTGACAAAGGAAAAGGCATCTTCCTCTGGGTTGAAGCCACAGTGTTACAGCTTCCATGCCGCTGACCCATGCTCAGAACTGGGCTCTTAAGCCAAACTGCATGCTCCGAGCACCACGTGGTACAGTCCTTCCTGGACTGTAGGTGTGATGATACTGAGGGAGGCTCTGAAACAAATGGGAGAAGTAGACTGCTTAGTTCTGGAAGATCTGTTGAGCATCATACATTTCATTTCATTCCAAAACGACACATTTCTGAATCTATCCGGGCGGGGCGAACCCCCCCCCAAAACCCCATTTACCTTGCTTCCAACAATGTTCCATTTTTGACATGCCACAGTATTTATCTACCACCTCCTAATAGCGTATCAAGTAGCAGGCAGTTGCCGGCTAATTGCTTCCCAAACATAATAACCTATCATCATCAAACATTTGACTTTTTAAATACTTTGTCTTTCTTCTTTTCCTCTTTTTTATCCCCCCCCTTTTTTTTTGCCTTCGACAAGGCTCGGTCTCTCCCCCCCACCTTGCTTTTCCAGTGCAACTCTGAATTGCACAAGAAAGGAAATGTTAAAATGTTCCGCACAAAGATAATTAAAATCTTTTTCTCCAAGCTGCAGCCAAATGTGGCAGACCCCCTTATCACTGCAGGAATTTTGAGCAGGGCTCTTGAATTCCTTTGAGATACGGTTCTGGTAGATTAGCATGTAGATCCTACAATTATGTTCCCCTTGGTCTCTTTGAAAGCTATTACGGCCTGATGTAATTTTTCCTCTCCCCTTCCTCTTCTCCCCCGGTTACTTTCTCACTATGTCCTAAGTGTTCCTGATGGAACATAAGGCAGAAGCGTGTAACACAAATTTGACAAAGAGGGCAGGAAAGAATGACAGAAAAGAATTGCCTGGAGAGATTCAACCCCTCCCTTAATGCCATGAGTCCTAATCTAACCCCAAGGAACATAGGAAGCCATCTTATAAAAAGTGTGGCCATTGGTCCATCTAGTGGTCTGTCTACACTGATGGGCAGCCTCTCTCAAGGATTTCAGCCATTATGATTTCAGGCAAAAGCCAGTGTTGTGCAGAGGTTAGAGCAGAGCTTTCCAAACTGTGTGTCACGACACGTAAGAGTGTCGGCTGCAGGGCTGGAAAGGGGTTAGCTTAATCTCTGGTTTGCTAGTAAAACTGAATTACTGTGTCACGAAATGATACATGTCTATAAAGTGTGTCACCAGCATGAAAAGTTTGGTAAGCTCTGGGTTAGAGTGTCGCACTTAGGGAGACTAGGATTTGAATCCCTGTGAAGCTCACTGGGTAACCTTTGGGCCAGTAACTCACTCTTGGCAGAACCTACCTCACAGGGTTATTGTGGGGATTGATTGGGGAGGGGGAGAACCTTGCATGCCACTTTGAGCTCCATGGAGAAAAAGATGGATGGATGGATGGGTGGATGGATGGATGGATAGATAGATGATAGGTAGGTAGGTAGGTAGGTAGATAGATGTTAAACATAGATATATGTTAGAGATATAGATAGATAGATGATAGATGATAGATAGATAGATAGATAGATAGATAGAGATATAGATATAGATAGAGATTAGATAGATAGATGATAGATAGATAGATAGATGATAGATAGATAGATAGATAGATAGATAGATAGATAGATAGATGATAGGTGATAGATAGATGTTTGACATAGATATATGTTAGAGATGATAGATAGATAGATGATAGATAGATAGATAGATGATAGATAGATAGATAGATAGATAGATAGATAGATAGATGATAGATAGATAGATAGATAGATAGATAGATAGATAGATAGATGATTGATAGATGATAGATAGATAGATAGATAGATAGATAGATAGATAGATGATAGATAGATAGATAGATGATAGATAGATAGATATAGATAGATAGATAGATAGATAGATAGATAGATAGATGATTGATAGATAGATAGATGATAGATAGATAGATATAGATAGATGATAGATAGATATAGATAGATAGATAGAGTGGCTGGGGAAACCCAACCAGATGGGCGGGGTATAAATAATATTATTATGATATAGATATAGATATAGATATAGATATAGATATAGATATAGATATAGATATAGATATAGATATATAGATATACCGTATTTTTTGCTCTATAAGACTCACTTTTTCCCTCCTAAAAAGTAAGGGGGAATGCGTGTGCGTCTTATGGATCGAATGCAGGCTGCGCAGCTATCCCAGAAGCCAGAACAGCAAGAGGGGTTGCTGCTTTCACTGTGCTGCGAGCCCTCTTGCTGTTCTGGCTTCTGAGGTTCAGAATATTTTTTTTCTTGCTTTCCTCCTCCAAAAACTAGGTGCGTCTTGTGGTCTGGTGCGTCTTATAGAGTAAAAAATACGGCAGATATAGATATAGATATAGATAGATGATTGATAGATGATAGATAGATAGATGATAGATAGATGATAGATAGATAGATGATAGATGATAGATGATAGATGATAGATAGATAGATAGATAGAACTATCTCTCTGAGCCTGATACCTGGAGATATTGAGGATTAAATTTGGGACCTTTTCATGCAAGGCAGATGCTCTACCACTGATCTATGTCTCTCCACAGAACCCTTACAGTTGTGCCTTCACACTAAACTCTGGTTTGGCTTGGCATTATGTGTGAACCAGCTCTACTAACAGGCTTTAGGGCAGTGGTGAGGAAACTTTTCCAGACCAGGGGGCCCCATTTCCTCAGCTGTGGGTGTGGCAAAAGTACAGGCATGGCCAGACAACACACTGCTTTCTGGGTAAAATCACTAGGGGAAGATGCAGAACAGGGCCAATGAGGGGGGTGGCCCAGTGTGTGTGACCTGCGGAGACTCCCAAGGTCTGGAGGGTCAGCCCACAAACATGAGGCTGCGCAGACCTACTTCCGGGTTAGCGCCATCGGCAATGGCGGAGTTCCTCTGACCGGGAGAAACCCGCTCTGTAAAAATCGGGTCTTGCCGCCGCGGCGAAGGTGGAGACCCTTCAAAAATCCCAGGCGGAGGAAGCCTGGGAACGTGGGATTCGGCTAACACCAGGAGCGCCTCCCCTACTCGCAGGGAAACCCTTTTTCGGGGATCCGAAGTGACGTGGGGTGAGTGGCGCGGTGTTTTGAATCGACTGCTACTTTTACGGAGTGAAGCCGCACAGCCATTGCCGGAGAGCGCTGACTTTTTCCTGTGGACAATTGGACTCTAAACAAGTACCCGTGAGTAAAACGGAAAATTGGATTAAGAAACATTTTAATTTGGCACTGAAGCGGGAAGGTTCTAAACAGGAAGTCCGCCTTCTGCTTTTGTAAATAGACTAAAGCAAAAATTTGCAAGCTAAAGTCTGGAAAGTCATATATAAAGGACTAAATTTCCTTCAGTTATAACCATCAAAACCCCTCTTGGAAGCAGGAGAAAAGGGGGGGAATTTTGATTGTTCAAGCCTACAGGAGAGAGAGTAAAGAAAGATAAATTTCCACCGTCTCAAACCTGGAACGGGGTGTCAGAGACAGAAATTTTTGGGGAAGTTCATTGACTGTGAATGGAACATCTTTTGACAGATAGTTTTAAAAAAAGAGAAACAAATTGATTCCAATGCTGCCTTTTGCACTCAAAAGATACAAAATATTTGAAAAATGAAAGTAATTTTCTTTTGTTGGACCTGCTTTCAAAAGATGGATACAAATAGAAATTGTCTCCTCTAGAGGGAGCTTGTTAAATTGTTGCTGGAGTTGATCTGGGGATTTCACAGCTGCGAGATTAGGATCGTGAGACCAGACTCTGACCTTGTATAAAAATGTGTTTAGAAGAAGTTTTGGTGCTTGCTTTTTGCAAGACAAGCGCTTTGTTGGAGCAGATGCATGAGAAGATGGATTTGATGACTGTTGCAGTCAAAAACTTTGGACAAACGGCGAATACTCACATAGAAACCATTCAGGAACCAACCCAGGAACCTGTTTTGACAGGGCAGGTGCAAGTGCAGAAGATAATGGAGGAGGTTGCTGTTGAACCTCAAGTAACACAAATGGAGAGACCCGAGGCCCTGCAGGAGCATAAGCCGCTGTTCTTGAAGATTGAATCTGGAGTGGGCCGGGGGGGGGTCTGGAGTTGTGGGGGCTTTTAATTTTGAAGGGTCTTTGAAACATGCTTTTAAATACTTTTTGGACTACAGTGCTGACTGTGGGGAATGGGCTGATCTGCTGAGGGGAGATGGAGATATTTTTGGGTTGGAGTCTCCCCGAGACCTATTCCTCAATGAGAAAGGAAAGAAATTAAGAAAAAGATCAACAGAAGACAAGGTAAAGTGCAGGTATAAACAAGAAGAAGATCTGCAGAAGGGACATGGAAGAGACTTAAGAGCCTCGGACACAAGAGCACCAGGTTGATGGACTAGAGGGAATGGACAGTAAGGACTGACATAACCCGAGACCAGGAAGAAGAGACGTTGGATGAAGATTGGAAGAAAGCTTTTTAAAAAATTTATTTTGAGAATTAGTGTAAAATTAATGAGTATTAGGAAAAATGTTGGAATGAAACTATTTGGCTTTAGTAGAAATGATATAAGGAGTTATGTATAAATAAGTATTAAGTTTTAAGCTTTAAGGTATTTTATGGTAAGATAAGGTTAAAATAAATTAAGGTAAATTGAATGACAGAACATAGTGAAAGATAGCAAGGATTTGCTGAGTGAATTAATATGTTAGACCGTTAAGATAAATTACTTAACAAAAATTGAGAAAGATGGAAAGGATTTGCTGAAACAATGAACTAAACTAGAATACAAAAAGGGAGGTGTGAGGAGGTCGATGAAACAAGCAAATGAAAGATAAAGAAATGGAATATTGGATGTGTGTTTTTTATTGTGGTATTGTTGTATTGGTTTTTATGTTTTTTATATTCTTTTTTATGTATTGTAATGTATGTCTTGTTGAATTTTTTGTTGTTTTCTTTTCTCCTTTTTTTGTAATTTTTAAACTTCTAATAAATATTTTTTAAAAAAGAGGCTGCACAGACCTGCTTTGAGGGTCCTGCGCTCACTTCCCCATAAAGTCAGAGAGAAATTTAGAGCTCTATAGGGGTTGGTTCTTTCCCACTGAGCAGTGTGAACTGTAGTATATCTGACTGCAGTAGGTGTCCTGTTTTGCACCCAACACAGACTCCTAATGGATATCTTCATTCATGAGGCACAGCAGCAGACATAGAGTTCAAGCATGACAATGCAGAAAACAGGCGAGATGTTCAGAACTGAAGATGTCCCAACAGTTCCCACACCCTGCCCACCAAGCTTTTAAGTATGAGGTGTGACACAATCGACCATGAGGCTCGCTCACTTGGAGGGGATGTGAGGATCGCAAGCCCCCATTCATCCAGGGTGGGTGGGAGGCAATGCCTGGTTCTGGGCAGCAAGACTACGCCCTCTCATTCATGCTCCTGATCATTTGCTGCTGCCTTCAGAGGTTCCTCCCACCTTGGCTGCCCAAAGCCCTCCCCAGCTTCCATTTAGACCCTCTGCTCTTCCTGTAGACCATGGGGAGGAACCAGCACCCGGGAACCCCCTTCTGAAGTGGCTGAAGTCAAAGCACAACAGGGAGAGAGAGCCCCCATCCTCTGACCCCATTTCCCAGCAACCAGCCTCTCTATGGGTGACCACATGTCCCACTTTAGAGAGAATTGTCTTCTCAGTCCAGTGTCAAGATAAGGAACCATAAAAAGAGAGTGCAGCATTGAACCTGCCCATCAACCCTTTAAGACCTAGACCCCTGTAAGACCTGGAACCCCTTAAGACCTGGACACACCAGTCACCTTAGCCCTGTCGTCCGCACTAGAGTGAGATGCCTTGTATTCCTATTTAAAGGATTATAGTTCTGTCTAAGTTTGTATTTGTACATGTGAATTAGAACATGTGAACATTATGGGTTGTATCCAGGGCTTGTACTACCTAACATTGATGGACATGACTAACTTAGGTCATTAATTTCAATGCTTCTACTCCACCCAGGACCTAGCTGTATACAGCCCTATTGAAATCACTGTCATCTTTCGCCTTCTGTTTTCAAGATCCCTCTCTCTCTTTTTGGGCAATGCAAAAGTGGCTGTATATAAAGGTTGTATCCAATGTAGTCCTATGCAGCATGGACCCATGGGGAGCAATAGATGTGAGTAACTTAAAGGTACCCCTGCCCGTACGGGCCAGTCTTGACAGACTCTAGGGTTGTGCGCCCATCTCACTCAAGAGGCCGGGGGCCAGCGCTGTCCGGAGACACTTCCGGGTCACGTGGCCAGTGTGACATCGCTGCTCTGGCGAGCCAGAGCCACACACGGAACGCCGTTTACCTTCCCGCTAGTAAGCGGTCCCTATTTATCTACTTGCACCCGGGGGTGCTTTCGAACTGCTAGGTTGGCAGGCGCTGGGACCAAACGACGGGAGCGCACCCCGCCGCGGGGCTTTGAACCACCGACCTTTCGATCGGCAAGCCCTAGGCGCTGAGGCTTTTACCCACAGCGCCACCCGCGTCCCCGTGAGTAACTTAGGTCCATTCATTTCAGTGGTCTACTCTGTGAAGGACTGGCGTTGGATACAAACCCCCCCTCTTATTTGTTCATCTTTTTAAATTGAATGTTATGGTTTGTTCTGTAAATATGAATAAGAACAGTTTAAAAAGTAGTGACAGTTATGGGCTTTATATTAGCAGTAAAACTGTTGAGCGAGTGAGCAAGAGGCTTTAATTACAAAGCAAGCTTCTGAAACGGAGGAGTTCAGTGCTGAGGAAGGTGGGAAACCGTAAAGCAAAAGCAGGGAAAAAAGAAGAAGAAGAAATTTACCAAAGCTTCTGTTTCAAGCGAGGAGGAAGAAATCCTGCTCTGTTCCGACTCTCCTCCCAGAAACCGCTCTGCTGGAAAATTTACAGCGCTAAGCCGATTGTTTGGTTTGGCACTCTGGTCAGGATGCTGTCTTGTAAACTTAATAATAGCTGCCCTCCTTTTAATTTGTTTGACCTTGACTACAATAATTTATTATGTGCGTTAGAAGGTTTCTCTCTCTCCCTCCTCCCCCCGTCACTTTTCTTTAAAACAAAGAATTTGGCTTCTTCCCCTTGACTGCATGGAGAGAGCTGTGCCTCGGAATTCCCTTTGGCTTCAGTCGCTCATGTGGCGGCTGGTTAGCAATCGACTTCGTATTTAAACAGAGGACAGAGTTTTATTTTTTATTTTCCCCTTTTACATGTATATTTGAATCCCTGGAAAACCTAAGCGGCTGGTTTTTCCTCACTGGAAAGACATAATTAATCTTGGTCCTGGTGAATGGTTAGTTCAGCATCTCTCTGCATTTTGTCAGTGCTGCTGACAATGTCTGCCTTTTCCTTCACCCTCTGCCTCACCCCCACCTTAAGTCTGCCTTCAGATTAAACTCTCTGGGCTAGGGAGGTAAGAAGGTTTTCCATTCTGCCTTGTCGTCATCCCATGCAGCGCTGTCTCCATCCTGCTGCAGTTTGCCTTCTGCCAAAACCGTCGTTACTTCTCTCACTGGCCATTGTGACAGAATTGTGCAGCCTGCATAATCTGCAGAACAAATTACGCAATTGATTGCGTAAATAATGCAAGATGCACCCCATTCATTTCAACACAAATAAAAAAGGGGGGGTAATCAATTGCATATTCTTTGCATATCGTTTTGGCTCTGGCCCCACTTGCTAGCCGCATGACATAAAAAGGTTCCTCGCCTCTATGATACAGAAAGAACCATAAGAAGAGCCTGCTGGATCAGACCAGTGTCCCATCTAGTCCAGCAACCTGTTCTCACAGGGACCAGCCAGATGCTTGTGGGAAGCCAGCAATCAGGATTCGAGCACAAAAACGCTCTCCCTTCCTGTGGTTTCCAGAAACCGGGGTTCAGAACCATTGCTGTCTCCAACTGTGGGGGCAGAGCATAGCCATCATGGCCAGTAGCCAGCCCTCTGCTCCATGAGTTTTAATCCATCTAGGTTGGTGACCCCAGGCCTGCCTCCTTCAGCATCTGGTTGGCCATTGGGAGAACAAGATACTGGGCTGAACAGCCCTGATCCAGCAGGGCTCTTCTGATGTTGTCCTGTTCTCTGCTCCAGCCAGTGTGTTGTAGTGGTTAAGAGCGGTGGACTCGTAATCTGGTGAACCGGGTTCGATTCCCTGCTTCTCCACATGCAGCTGCTGAGTGAACTTGGGCTAGTCATACTTCATTGAAGTCTCTCAACCCCACTTACCTCACAGAGTGTTTGTTGTGGGGGAGGAAGGGAAAGGAGATTGTTAGCCGCTTTGAGACTCCTTCGGGTAGTGATAAAGTGGGATATCAAATCCAAACACTTCTTCTTCCTTCCTTCCTTAGAAGTGCACACGTACCGCTGCGAGGACTGCGACGAACTCTTCCAGTCAAAGATGGACATGAGGCGGCACAAGAAATACTCTTGCAATGCTGTCAGCTCCCTCTACGAGACCCTCAGCGAGGAGATCAAGCAGGAAGGGGCTTCCGATGGGCAGGTCCACGAGTGCAAGGATTGTGAGAGGATGTTCCCAAACAAATACAGGTAATGCACCCGGGAACCGGTGAGATGCTGAGCATCCTGGCTGGGGCTGGTTGGAGTTGGTCCAGAACACCTGGAGGGCACCAGGTTTACTCTGTAGCCCTCTTACCCTGTTAGACCTCTTTCAAAATTAGTGGTGATGGGAAGAACTGTAGTATCCATGCAACGTGTCCGCCCATTTCTCTCTTTCAGCTTGGAACAGCACATGATCATCCACACTGAGGAACGGGAGTACAAATGTGACCAGTGTCCGAAGGCCTTCAACTGGAAATCAAACCTGATTCGTCACCAGATGTCGCACGATAGCGGCAAGCGATTTGAATGTGAAAACTGTGTAAAGGTATGGCTGTGATGGGCGCCATTGATTGACTCTGGTTGTGGTCCCAACCACTCAAGAGGATCAACCCTACCTTCCTTTGAAGATGGGCAAATAAAGGAACAGAGAAATACTGTTTTGAAATGAAACAAATATCATGGATTGGCTGGACCCAGAGGAATGGTGGGAAGCACTGGGGAACTCCCAAGGGAAGAAGGCTCAGAGCCCTGGGAGAGGTGGTGGGATGAAGATGAGTGGTCAGAGGGAGAAGACTGGGATTGGCAGCTAAGGAGGCAATGGCTTAGTGAGCTGGGAGAGTCTGTGGCAGAGAGAAGTGCAGAAGGCAGAGAGGAGGGAGGCCAAGAGGCAGAGATGAGTCTTGCTGAAGAAGCCAGGGTTTCTCTCTCTCCTGCTACAACAGGCTCCCCTCACCACTGGAGTCACAGTACTAGGAGAGGCATGAAGAGGGAGGAACAGTGGCAGGCATGCAGGCACAGTCTCAGATTGCTTGGGAAGGACCCGGGAAAGGAGGAGACTTGCTGTGGGAAGGCGGGGACCTTCAGTCCCCACAACTGCCTCTTAGGTGCAAGACCTACTGAGAAGAGTTGATGTGCTCATTAGGCCTGGTGCTCTTGAGCTGACCTTATACTTCTAATAAAGCGTTAACTTCACTTACTCCATATGATTTATTGCTGACTTGCTCTTGGCAACAGTTCTACACAAAAGCGAAAAGGACACTTTAATCTCAGAAATAAACCCTACCTCACAGGGCTGTTGTGGGAATTAAAGGAGGTGGGGCAGAACCACATATGTTGCCCTAGGCTCCTTGGAGGAGGGGGAAAGGTGGGATATACCGGTAAATGAAATGAAATAAAGAAGTCACCAGTAAACAGAACTTCACGGTGAGATGAATTTATGTGGCTTTGTTCCTCAAAAAAGTTTTCTCTCTCTCTCTTTCTGCACTCCCTATTTCCAGGTGTTTACTGACCCCAGCAACCTCCAGAGGCACATCCGTTCTCAGCACGTCGGCGCACGGGCGCACGCTTGCCCTGACTGTGGGAAAACCTTTGCCACTTCTTCCGGCTTAAAGCAGCACAAGCACATTCACAGCACTGTCAAACCTTTCATATGTAAGTTGTCATGGCTGCCTCCGAGAGCAGGCCAGCCACTATAATTGCACATATCCTGAGCTGCAGCCTCCACCGCCACCCCCTCCGGCCTCTGCCAGCAGCAGCCGCTGTAATTTTATAGGTCAGAGCACCAGATTAAATTCTGCCGCAATTCCCACCCCCCACTTCACGCACGGCTCCTGTTTTTTCAGTAAACATTTGAGGCAGGGTTTTTTGTTTTTGACAGGTTAAAAGCTGAACTCCGCAGTCAGTCGGGCCAATTTTGCCTGTGCACATTTCGTTGCAGCAAGCACACACCCACCCACCCCCACACGCCGCCACCCCCCGAATCCTAGGAACATAGGAAACTGCCTTATACAGAGTCAGACCATTGATCTCTCCAGCTCAGAATTGCCTCCAATGACTGGCAGGGACTCTCCAGGCTTTCAATCGGGGGCGTCTCTTCCAGCCCTACCTGGAGATGCATGTCTGTGAACCTGACACCTTCTGCATGCAATGCAGATGTCGCAGGCGATGGGGACCCTTTGGTCTGATCCACAAGGCTCTTCCTGTGTCTGTGCAAAGAGCGGTACCCCAGTTCATCCCTGCACCCTTTCTTGGGCAGAAATAACCAACTCTGGGCAGCTTCCAACACACATAAAAACATAACAAAACGTTAAAAACTTCCCTATACAGGGCTGCCTTCAGATGACTTCTAAAAGTTGTGTAGTTCTCCATCTCCTTGACATCTGATGGGAAAGTGTTGCACAGGGAGGGTGCCACTACCAAGAAGGCCTTCTGCCTGCTTCCCTGTAATTTTGCTTCTCACAGTGAGGGAACCACCAGAAGGCCCTCGGAGGAGAACCTAAGTATCTGGGCTGAGTGATAGGGGTGGAGACACTTCTTCAGGTATACTGGGCCAAGGCCATTTAGGGTTTTAAAGGTCAGCACCAACACTTTGAATTGTGCTTGGAAACATACTGGGAGCCAGTGAAGATCTTTCAGGACCGGTGTTATATGGACCGGTGTTATATTCTTTAGGGAAGGCCGAGAAGGCCCTCTGCCTGATTCCCTGTAACTTTATTGTGCCAGAAGGCCCTCAGAGCTGGACCTCAGTGTCCGGGCTGGATGATGGGGGTGGAGACGCTCCTTCAGATATACAGGGCTGAGTAGTTTGTTAACTGTGCTGGGCATTGTAGCTCTGTGATAGGTAAACTACAGCTCCCAGGGTTCTCTGGGACAAGCCCTGTGCTTTTTAAATGTGCAGTGGATGCATTTTAAACATATGGTGTGGATGTGACCGTCATCTTCTATACAAGGAATTGTCTCAGCCAATATTTCCAGTGAGGTAATAGGCTTGGTAAGCCAAAGTACGACTTCGGGTTCACATGAGGGGCAGCAGTCAAACTGCTAGCTCGTTTGCAAAGCTAAGCAGGGTCCGGTGTGGTTTCAAACTGGATGGGGAACCCCATGTTGAGATTCCTGCATTGCAGGAGGTTGGACTAGATGATGCTTAGGGTCCCATCCAACATTCTAGAATGCAGCATTTCTGCAAATTTGCAATTCTAGAATGCAGCATTTCTGCAAATTATGTTACTCCTCCCCCCCCCCCATGCTCCACTTCAACAGGGTGGCCCCCAAAACCAGTAAAAAACAACAACAAACAATCATGATTTCGGGTTGCATCCAACTAAGTCCTTTTTTTTAACTATCAATTATTTATTGATTAAAAGATTTGCATATCCATACAAACATTATGTGCTATCTCTTAACAGGCAAAAAAAAGAAAATTATATAAAATAGAATATTTATAAAGAAATAAAGAAGTAACAAAGATAAGAAACAAAGAAATCTTTTTTTAAAAAAGAGACAAAGTTATTTACATAGTAAAAGTACTCATCCGCACAATCCTTCCCATCCTTCTCATTATACTGTTTGATATAACATTCTTTTTTACGCAGGTTTACATTGTATAATATCATTTCTTTCTGGTTTGTATACGTTCCTTTGATCTTTTTCTTTACAAATATCTCTCAGTCACTCATCCGACTAAGTCCTGTTCATTACTTTATTATGAAACACCACCTGCTTTCCAACCAGTTCTTTCATATTAATTTCATATTGGGTTTTGGTGTTTTGGTTTCTGTTGATGCTTTAGGTGAGGTCTGCCACAAGTCCTACACGCAGTTCTCCAACCTGTGCCGCCACAAGCGCATGCATGCCGACTGCCGGACCCAGATCAAGTGCAAGGACTGCGGCCAGATGTTCAGCACCACCTCCTCACTCAACAAGCACCGTCGCTTCTGCGAGGGGAAGAACCATTACAACCCCGGGGGGATATTCGGGCCAGGCCTGCCTCTCACTCCCAGCTCAATGATGGACAAATCCAAGCCATCTCCTGCCCTTAACCATGCCAGCCTGGGCTTCAGCGATTACTTCCCATCCCGGCAGCACCCTGGAGGGCTCCCCTTCTCCCCCGGTCCCCCAGCGTTCCCATCCCTCGCCCCTGGGTTCCCGGGCATCTTCCCTCCTTCGCTGTACCCCAGGCCCCCTTTATTACCTCCGACGCCGCTGCTGAAAAGCCCCCTCAACCACACTCAAGATGCCAAACTTCCCAGCCCCCTGGGCAACCCAGCCCTCCCTCTGATCTCTGCCGTGAGCAACAGTGGCCACCCCGCCTCCGGGGAGGAGCGTTACAACAGCAGCAACCTGGGGAACTCCTACCTGGAGAAGCTCAAAGCCAGGACCAGCGACATGTCAGATGCGAGCGACTTCGAGGACGTCAACACCACCACAGGAACGGACCTGGATACCACCACCGGGACAGGGTCTGACCTGGAGAGTGACGCGGAGAGCGACCGGGACAAAATGAAGGAGAAGAGCAAGCCGTCCGAGAGCAAGCCGGATTTCGGCAGCGGCGCAGTGCCCACCAGTTCCGCCAACAACATGAGCGACCTCCCCCTCTTCTACTCACAGCATTCCTTCTTCCCTCCCCCCGAAGAGCAGCTCCTCCCCATGGCGGGAGCAGCCAACGACTCCATCAAGGCCATCGCCTCCATCGCAGAGAAGTACTTTGGGCCCGGCTTCATGGGGATGCAGGAGAAGAAGATGGGCTCCCTCCCGTACCATTCCATGTTCCCCTTCCAGTTCCTCCCCAACTTCCCCCATTCGCTGTACCCTTTTACGGACCGCACCCTCAACCACAGCTTGCTGGTCAAGGCAGAACCAAAGTCGCCCAGGGACCTTCACAAACTGGGCAGCACCAGCTCTGAGTCGCCCTTCGACCTTACCACAAAGCCAAAAGAAATCAAGCCAGCCTTGCCGCCCCCCAAAGTCCCGCCTGCTCACCCGTCCGGGGAGGAGCAGCCGCTGGATCTCAGCATCGGCAACCGTATCCGGGCCAGTCAGAATGGGAGCCGGGACTCCCGGAGGAACCACGTGTACGGAGAAAGGAAGTTGTTGGCCAGTGAAGTATTACCCAAGATCTCTCAGGCTCAGATGCCGCCACAGCCATCACTGCATTACGCCAAGCCGTCTCCTTTTTTCATGGACCCCATATACAGGTATTAACATAGCCTGCCTTAATCGCACGCATTTGCAACTGAGGCCAACTGAGCCCCAGCGACAACAGTGGTGGCAAGCAGTGGTTGGGGTTGCCACAGCTACTGAGTTACCCCAACCCTGGTGTGTGAAGCAGTCACTCGGGTCTGGTCTACTTGCCAGCAAAGTTCTCAGGGACTGGGAAGAGGAAGAATGGTGGAGACCACCTCCCCATCCTAACCAAAGGAAGAGGAAGACAGTAGATTTGCTACAGGGGTTTGAGGGAGGTCAGAGCTCAGAGGCAGATGAGGGGGGAAATTGGGAAATCATGGGAGAGCTAGAGCAACACCCAGCTGACACGTTGTCATTAGAAAGCATTCCAGAGCCTCCATATCCCAGAACCTGGCGAGCCTTGAAAGTAGGAGAGCAAAGAGCTCAAAAACAGAGGGCCCATAGAGGAGACAATGAGAATGATGAGGACGTGGGAGAGATGAGGGGGTGGAGATTCACTTGGGACAACACCATTTTCCAAGAGGCTGGGTTCTATAGCCTCTCTATGTAAAGATTGACATAAAAAAGGATGGTAAGAAACTTTATACTTTCCTGGGCAACCAGCCAGGAGATGCTGACAGCATCCTGACAAAAGTTGACCATTAGCTATGGCTGCAACATGGTTATGTTGTATATCACGTTGTATTCAATGAAAGTCTGTGCAGAGTAGACCCACTTTAATTAATGGACATGACTGAACTAGGCCCATTAATTTCCATTTTATTCATTAAAATGAACGGTACTAGGTCCTTAACATTGAAGCGATAACTTTAGTTAAAAACAACTCAGTTCCTCAGCCCAGTGGCCAATAGATTCACCTCCATATCCAATGACATTGACAAACAGAATACACGTGGATCAATTAAAATGAAATAAAATGTGCAGTTACATGAAGCAAATATTTTCCAAAGCCAATATCTGTGGCCAGACATGCTCTGATGAATAGGGTTTCTTCCGTGGCAGGTAAACAAAACAGAACACCAACTTGAGCACGACTCTGAAAGTGTAATTGCTTTTTTTATGATGTGCTGCAGCAAACATTTCTTTCCAAATTGAAAAAATAAGACATTTTAGTCTTCTGCCAACACTGGCCATCCCCACCACCAGAAGAAAGAGTCGGGGTGCCAACTTGAATAAAATATTTGGAGTGGGGCAGGTAAGCCCCACCCCACATAATTGGTCACTCACTGTGCACACACCCTATTTGAATAGCAATGCCCACTAACTTTGGGGGGCCTTGGACCCCTCAAATATTTTAGGGGGCGCGAAGACCCTAGGAGCTGGCTAGGATAGAGTCATTTGAAAACAAGCTGACTGTTGGACTAAGAGATTGCTTTCATCAAGTTATCATCTTAAAGCTTTTTTGCCTATGTAATAGGCGTATATGTAACTCATAGGCTACCTTAACTTCTTTTGTAGCAAATTAATGAGCATGACTAACTTAGGTCCACCCATTTAAATGGATCTATTCTGATCAAACATACACCACATGCACTCCTGATTGTTCTTGGGCTGATACAGTCGTACTTTGGTTTTCGAACAGAATGCGTTCCAGAAGTCTGTTCGACTTCGAAAACATTCAGAAACCAAGGGGTGGCTTCCTATTGGCTGCAGGCGCGTCCTGCAGTCAATTGGAAACTGCGGAAGCTGCACTGGATGTTCGGCTTCCAAGGCAAAGTTCGCAAACCGGAACAGCTATTTCCAGGTTTGCGATGTTTGAGTTCCGAGTTGTTCACGAACTAAACTGTTCGAAAACCAAGGTACAGTTGTATAGGGCACTGACCTAGATAAGCTCTTCTTACCTTTTGCTGTTGTTGTTCTTAAGTACAGTGGTACCTCGGTTAAGTACTTAATTCGTTCTGGAGGTCTGTTCTTAACCTGAAACTGTTCCTAACCTGAAGCACCACTTTAGCTAATGGGGCCTCCTGCTGCTGCCGCGCTGCCGGAGCATGATTTCTGTTCTCATCCTGAAGCAAAGTTCTTAACCCGAGGTACTATTTCTGGTTAGCAGAGTCTGTAACCTGAAGCGTATGTAACCCGAGGTACCACTGTGCTGTTGTTGGCATTCATCTGTCTTGAGAGACAATGGTTGGGCTACTCCAGGGGTGAAGTCAATCCACTGTGTTAGCTGCACCAAAGTGATCTCCCTGGGGCACAAGCCTGGGCGGTGTGGGGGGGGGCTGGGCTGCCCAGATGACAAGACCCCCCTCTTGGCCTCACTGATGTGGTCCAAAGGAAAGTGGAGCAATACCTTTGGCATCAGCTTGGCTGCAGGAGTTGCCAGAAAGAGGTGTACAAGACGCCATCCATCTGTTTGAGGGAATTGTGTCGGGTTTAAGTATATAGGCTTGTATAAGACAAGTGGGTCCAAAATTAGGAAACCAGAAACCGTGATCTGCAAATCATGCACGGTGGAGAAGTTTGGGAAACCATGACGTCAACATGGGAAGATGCCAAGGAACTGTCAGCCAAGGTGATGTCTGCCGGGCATGTTGAGAAACCGGGAGGGGGGGGGTAAGGAAGAGGAACTTGAGTTTTCTCAAGATCCCTTTTCAGATTGGTACTCCATGAGGAGGGCTTCCTTTTCTCACTCTTGAGATCCTAAGGACTTTGCTCAAAGCTTTATGTTGCCTCTCCCAATCATGCTCGTCTAGGGATGTCATTCCAGGTATGAAAAATGGCCCTGACCATTTTCGGCTTTGTTCCTTGGGAAATAGCGACGGTAACGGTAGAGATGGAAGTTATTCCAGTGGGATTCCAGCACCTCTGCGTAAGGGCTGGAAAACGTGCCAAAATAACAGAGGTTGGGGAAAGCTTTGCCAGTCAAAACAGAAAGGCAGGAAACGGCACAAGAGCAGAAGACAGATGAATGAGATGGATCGGGGGAGGGGGGAGACATGCTCAGTGAGTTCCTGGGAGATGTGAAGGATTAGTAGCGGGTTCTTTTGGGAGGGGGGAGAGATTTCAAAGTTAGAAACAAGTCAAAGGTTGTAAATCCAACTGAGGATGCCATGAGTTAGCAGTCTGGCAACCTCAGAAAATAGAGAAATGCAAGTTGGACCCGTAACATATTATAGGACACATACAGGACACATTCCAGCTAGGTGGAACCACTTAGGCAGGACCAGTGAGAGGTGTGGCCTTGGGAAAGTTGTGAGGGCCAGATAGAGAGCCCTGGAGGGCCACATTTGGCTCCTGGGTTGGAGGTCCTTCACTCATGCTCTTAAACCATGAATGGGCCTGCTCTGAGTGGGACTAATGTTTGTTTCAGCCCATTGTTATCTTCCTGGCACAACAGTAAGACATCCCCTGGCAGAAACCAGGAAGGGTAGATTATATATACATATATTCCTAGTTCAGTTGGTAGAGCATGAGACTCTTAATCCCAGGTTCGTGAGTTCAAGTCTCATGTTGGGCAAAAGATTCCTGCATTGCAGAGGGTTGGACTAGATGGCCCTCGTGGTCTCTTCCAACTCTACAATTCTATGATTCTTCTGGTTTTCCCTGGAGGCCCTGTGAGGTATGTAACCCTCTGTATTGCTGTCCAGCAGGGTGGAGAAGCGGAAGGTGGTAGATTCAGTGGGCGCATTGAAGGAGAAGTATCTGAGACCATCCCCGCTGCTTTTTCATCCCCAGGTAAGACCAAAAAAATAAAAAATGTTGAATTTGACTTTGATGCAGTTTGATGAGAACTGACTTTGTCTGGAACCTCCCGGACAGATGTGTGGATCAGAGCAGCGGACTGTATCCAGCTATGACCTACTTTGAGTAGACCCACTGAAATGATTGGGCCAAAGTTAATCACGTTCCTTAACTTCTACTCTTAGTAGGACTGGCAGAGACTACAGGTCTTCATTTTGCAATTCCCTGGATTTTGCAGTAGTTTCCAACTCAGAAAATCGCCCCCAAAAAGGCATTGTGGGGAAAAAAGTTCATTTGCAGAGATAAAATAGATTTTATTTTTAAAATAAATTTTATTGGTGTGTGTGTGTGTGTGTGTGTGTGTGTGTGTCCCACAGGTACAAACCTGGCACACCAGAGATAAATGTTCTACCCCAGCCAGGTACTTGTTTCTAGCCTGACATCAGCAACATCAGCAGCAACAACATTATTATTATTATTATTAGCCTTATTTGAACACCAGACCTTTTCAAAGCACCCAAAGCTCTGAGATACTTTGCAAGTTCTCATGAGACTCTTGATCTCAAGGTCATGGATTCAAGTCCAACGCTGGGCAAAAAAATTCCTCCATTGCAGGGGGTTGGACTTGATGGCCCTCATGCTGCCTTCCAATTCTACAATTCTATGATTCTATTATTCTAGGGCCCCTCATAACTGAACACACAAAAATGATGTTTCATTGAATGAGACCATTGGCCTAGTGCTATCAAGAGCAGACTGGCAGGGTCTTGTGCTTCTGCAGGGTCTTGTGTGTTTCCATGACTTTCTAAAAGATCTATAAGGTCCCTGCACAGGGGTCCCACCATATTAGGGGCCCCTTACTTCACTCTCATCTTTAAGCACCTTTGCCATCCCTTAAGCAGAGGGGCTAGCGATAAAGCACAAGCCATCAGTGTCACATCTCAGTTTCCCTTCTGTTGGAAACAGTAAGAGTCTACCCTGTGATTTCATTTACAGGGTACTCAACAACCATTGTTTTGCGGCTGGAGCTTTTCCCGCCCGATATGGTTTTGCTTTCACAGCTAAACTTAGTTCCTTCATTGTTTTGTCTCAGCCTGAGAGTTTGGTTAATAACTTCCCCCGATTTTCCATTTGAGGAGGTCCTACAATGGTGACCGGCTGGCCAGGGACATCCTGTGTTTGTGTGGGTTAGAATAGCAGGAGAGAAATGATCTGATAGCTGTCCCAGAAAGTCTGGTGAGAAAGCTATGCGCTCGGAGAAAGACTGTGTGCTGGGGGCACAGAAGGGTCTAAAAGTCAATCTCATAAAATTTGGACTGTGGAAAACATCTGTCACATTGGTTGTCTGTCAAGTTAGTATCTGTCAACAGAATATATACAATGATGGTGGTCGTTCTCACCATCACCATTATCAACAAGTTCTTAATTTTTTTTCAAACCACCTTTCCTCCAATAGCCCAGGGCAACATGCATGAATCCCTCATTCACACTCACCCACCCATTCGATTCTCACAAAAACCCTGTGAAGTAGGGTAAGCTAAAATATAGTGTGTATCTCATGGTCACCCAACAAGCTTCTTGACTGAGTGGTGCTGTGAACCTCTTGAATGGTGGGGCTAGGTTGTGGATCTGGATGGGGAAGAAACTTGATTTAGCTTGCATACAAAGGTGAACACACCTAATTCACACTTTCTGAAACAATACATGAAATGAAACAAAGCCATTCATTGAAATTGGCACTCCTCCGAATTTTGCAGGGTAGTTCCTGAGCCAAGTAAGTCATATACTGGGACAAAGTGTCCATAAAGAGGCAGATATCTGTGATTATAACATTAAGAGTGCCTTGTATTAGGGGAAATTGCTTTACAAAAATGTGCAAAATTGCATGTAAACATGCGTACATTGCAATAAATTTGCTGGTGAATTTTCACGAAGGACTAATAATAATAATAATCTCACAAACCGATCTTGAAATGTGGAGTACTGAACTTAAAGTTGGAACAAATTGAGAGAAACAAAAATGGACAGACTTGCCCATCCCTCACTGTGAGAAGCAGAGTAGGGGGAGCTGGGAGCCGGGAGAGCGGCTAGTTGTCAGGACTAGAAAGCAAGTAAAAAAAAATACCAAGGAGGTAAGATCAAAGAACAAACCAAAAGTCAAGACTAAATCATAACCAGACACAGGGACACAGCAGAGTTCAGGAAGACTGTTGTTCCATCAAGGATCAACTAGAACAGGAAGTCCTCTTAAACTGCTTCGTGTCCAGGAAGGTCCACAGTGAGCACAGTCAATGGCGGAAGCTATTTCACTGGGTAGCTTCCATACACATCTCAAAGGTTCACCACATAGGGGAGCTGCACACAGACCCAGCTGTTCTTGACACCATTTCCTGGCTGTAATTGCTTAAATTGTACAGTATGTCCATAGTTCAAGGGGTAGGGACCATTTCAGCCTGAGCTGGACAGCTTCCAGCTAGGCAAAAGCACTTGAGGAGAGTATGAATCAGGGCCAGTGAGGGGTGTGGCCTGAGGAGAGGTGCAGGGGCCACAGAGAGAGGTTTGGAAGGCCACATTTTCCCCTGGGACCAAGGTTCCCCACTCCTGGAACATTCCAAGAAGGGGACAAGTCTATCTGTCTGAAACCCTTGAACTCCATACTGTGGCATTTCCTTGCAAGTGCTATTTGTCAACAGCAAAATATCAGCAAAAGGTCGGGATAGTCAACATGGGGCTGCTTTGCAGACTTTGTTGGTCTCCTCCTCCCATCAGCACCCCCACCAGCATGGCCAAATGTCAGGGGGCGATGGAAGTTGTAGTCTAACAACCTCTGGAGGACCACAGGTGAGCTAACCATGGACAGTTCTCTTTGATACCCAACTCCTAATGCTTTGTCATTTAATTTTACTGGGCTGTGCGGGGTTTTTGAAACCGAAATGCTGATTTGTACAAAATCTGGCATTTCGGAGACCACTAGCCTTTGGAAACCAAGGACAATAACATAAAAAATAAATATATGCTGGATTCCCACGCTGGCATCTCTGAAAACATGGCATGTATCTCTCTCTCTCTCTCTCTCTCTCTCTCTCTCTCTCTCTCTCTCTCTCTCTCTCTTGCAAGGGGCGGGGGGGGGTATAAACAAAAGAAGGCTTTTCCCCCCTGCACTGATTTTTGTATGACTCCAGCATGATCTGTTTCGAATGAACTTCTGCCCGCACAAATCATTGGCAAGCCTTTCTGATTGCTTAATGGCACACACACACCCCCGCACCCACCTCGATGACTGTCTTTCCTTCTTCTTCTTCCTCTTCTCTGCTTTTCTTTTCTTCCTCATCTTTATTTGTCATTTTGAACCGGTTGCTCCTGCCTTAAATAGCAACTGCTCCTGCCAAACGGAGAGGCCAGGGCCTGCCTTTAGAATTGTAGAACGAGCCCACGACATCTCACACTGGCAAACCCTCTGTGATTAAGTGCCAAAAGAGCAGGGAGTGACAAAAGCCGCCACCAGGTACTCCGGTAAAGGGCTGAGTGAAAAGAACCCTCGACGAGATCCACCAAGTGTTTTGCAACCCGCTCGGTTTTGTTACATGACTGGCAGCGGGGGCTGGCCCTCTGTTCCCTTGCACTATTATCATACAGGCCTAGGATCCGTTCTATTAAATAACACAAAATGGCTTTTATGGGACTCCTTTTATTTTCTTTTTTAAGGTTTATGATTGGTTGTCATCCTTCTGCAATTTATTCCTCAATGATCAGGACAGCACTCTCTATCTATCTTCATTCCTTAATGTTTTTCTTTCCTTCTCTCTCTCTCCCCCCTTCCCCTTCCCTTCCTTTTTTTCTTACTCATTCTCTCTCTCTCTCTCTCTCTCTCTCTCTCTCACACACACACACACACACACACACACAGAGAGAGAGAGAGAGAGAGAGAGAGAGAGAGAGAGAGAGAGATAGGAGGGAATCTGGGGGGACTGTACATGTTCCACATTTTAATGTAAAGACACTGACTTCACACTTCAGAGAAACTGAATTTGGCACATCCGTCTGTCATTAGAAGTGGTATGCATTCTTAGGCATTATCTCCAGTCCCATTTCAACGAAGCAGGAACATGGCAAATGCCAGCTCTCCCAGGTACCCAGCAGAGCACATTGTTTTGTGACTGAAAGATCCCTCCTACCATCAAAAGTGTGACCTCCCGTCCACAACACTGGACTCTTAATTCTGAGCCTTGCACCCTGCTCAGCCTCCTTTGCTCTTTCCTTACCGCATAACAATGCCATTAAGACAGTTTTTAATTGCCTAGCTCTTAGCATAACACAGCAAAGATTTATCTTACAGGGCAACCATCTCGCTTTACTTTATTGGGCTGTTTTCCCTGACAAACAATGTTAACCAGCTATAAGGAAGAGATGTTTAGCACAGACCCCAGTGTGCTAGTTATTGCAGGTTTCTACATGGGGGGAACATGTGGAAGAAAAAACAAGTTGGGAGTAGGGACGGGATGGTTCTCATTGAAAGGCCAACTTACCTAAATTGCAGAGTCTGAAACCATGTGTACACCTCTCTGAATTTTGCAATGCAGTTCTGCAGCCAAGTAACATCTTTTAAAAGATGCATGTACTAGGAGAAAGTGTGCACATAAATGCGTACATTGGCAAAACTAGTATAATGAAAATACATTATATTAAGATAAATGGCTAAAATGCTGGTGAATTTTCATGAGGATATCATCATCATCATCATCATCATCGCACACTAATATGGAAATGTGGAGAGCTGAAAGGTAGAAAGGGGGTGTTATTTTTATTTTGGGTTGTTGCTTTTATTTTTGTTATATATATTGTGATTTTTATCTTGATCTTTTCTGTGAACCGCCCTGAGACTTTCAGGTATAGGGCGGTATATAAATTCAATAAATACTACTACTGCTACTAGTAATATTAGTAGTAGTGGTAATAATAATAGGAAAATGAGAGAAACTGAAACATGTTCACCCAACCCATAGGTGACGATAAAGCAGCAGACAGGCTCCTGCAGTCTGGTCTGATCTAAATGTTTGCACCTTACGTCATATAATGTGCAGAAGAACTCCAGAGCAATATCTCATTAAAATCAAGGAAGCAGAGTGGCTAGGCCCCACTCAGAATTATCTCTGTCTGAAAAGAGGTTTGATGCTTATAGGCCTGTCTGCCTGGTAGAATCTAGAATCCCGCCGCCACCCTGCTTGTTCAAAATCTATAAACAAACGGTGTTGGCCACAACGGGTGACAAACCTTCCCCCTTCTCTGAACAGATGTCAGCAATAGAAACCATGACGGAGAAACTGGAGAGCTTTGCAGCCATGAAGGCGGACGCCGGCGCTTCCTTGCAGCCCCTCCCGCACCATCCCTTCAACTTCCGGTCGCCGCCCCCAACGCTGTCCGACCCCATTTTGCGCAAGGGCAAAGAACGCTATACCTGCAGGTAAGAAGCCAAGGGCGGCCAGCAGCTGCTGCAAAGAACAAGGAAGAAAGAAAAGGCTCGGCTTGAGGTGGGATGCAAGATCCGGGACAGGGATTGCCATCCTTCTAGGCCAGTGGGCACATTTGGGGTTTTTGATCATGTGTCGCTGGTCCCACTCTCTCTGTTCACTTCTCTCCTCCTTCAGATCACCAGAGAGAGGTAGAAAGAGTGTCCCCCACATGCTGCTCTTTTGCAAGTGATCCATTAGCATTGATTAGCCTTGAAAAGCCCATGGAGTTGAAAGAGGAAGTGGGAAAGAGCATCACTTTCCCAACTTCCTCCTTCAGCTCTATGGACTTGTTGAGGGGGAAGAAGGTAAGCCGCCTCACCAACTTGTAGACAAGGAGGCACGGTGCGGTGGTGTCAGGGGGCTCAGAAGCTTCATGGGTACCAGGAGGAAGCCTCAAGGATGCCATTGCACACATGGGCACCCTGTTGGTGACCCCTGATCCAAGAAAAGGAAACAAACAGCCTCTTCCTCTTTCTGATTTCTTTGCTTGAGATTCTCTCTACCCCCACCATGCCAGTTAGTAATCTCTGGATCACACCACTATAGCAAAGGGCCATAGAGGAAGGGTGTAGAACACCTGCTTTGAATGTAGAAGGTCCCAAGTTCAAGCTCTGGCATCTCCAGGTAGTTCTTGTCTGAAATTCCAGAGAGAGGCTGCCAGTCTGGGCAGGCAATACCTTGATGGACCAATGCTCTGACTCGGTGTAAGGTGGCTTCCCGTGTTCCTGCGATAGCCATAAGACTAGGGTATGAACTTCACTGTCTTCTCACCTCCTAGGTACTGTGGTAAAATATTCCCGCGTTCAGCAAATCTGACGAGACATCTGCGGACACACACAGGAGAGCAACCTTACAGGTAAGGAAGAACGTAGTTTTAAATCTCAGGACAAACAGCGGGAAACAGTCGATATAGACTTTTTTTTCCTGAAAAGAATTATCAGCAAGAAAGGTTTGGGGCAAATATAAAGGAGCCTGATTTTTCTGTGGAACTGATTGCCACAGGATCATGGGATGGCGACTCAGCGTAGATGAACCTAGCAGACTCACAGCAAATAAGCATTAGCTGTGATGCCTCAGAATGGAGCCTCCATGTTCAGGGCCTCTCTACCACAGGTGCCCTTTTAGAGTTTGGTGTGGAGCAGAAAATAAGCCTCAAAATATCTGCTGTTGCCAGGCGGGGGGGGGGGGCTCCACAAACCTGATAAATTCTAAGAGTTTTATCCACTGAAATTAATGGACATGACTGATGTAGGCCCATTAATTTCAATGGGTTAACTCTTGAGTTAAACTTATTAGGATAATGGCAGTTTTTCATAATGGCGCCGGGTAAAGAGAAATTTCAGTCCAATTTTGGGGGGAGTCGGAGGTTGGATTTCAACCATTTATTGAGACAATTTGCCAGCAGGGTGTGTGTGAAAGAGAGTGGGCATAAAAGTAGCTTTAGCAGGAAGAAAGAGGTGGTCTGAAGCAAAGGAAGGATAAAAGGAGAAGGAAAGAGCTTGTGGAGGACCACTCTATTATAGTGTTATAGATTGGGAGAGCGAGACCCTAGAAATTAATAAATGGTAAAGGTAAAGGGACCCCTGACCATTAGGTCTAGTCGTGGCCGACTCTGGGGTTGCGGTGCTCATCTCGCTTTATTGGCCGAGGGAGCCGGCGTACAGCTTCCAGGTCATGTGGCCAGCATGACTAAGCTGCTTCTGGCAAACCAGAACAGCGCAAGGAAACGCAGTTTACCTTCCCGCCGGGGCAGTACCTATTTATCTACTTGCACTTTGACGTGTTTTCGAACTGCTAGGTTGGCAGGAGCAGGGACCAAGCAATGGGAGCTCACCCCGTTGCGGGGATTCAAACCGCCGACCTTCTGATTGGCAAGCCCTAGGCTCTGTGGTTTAACCCACAGCGCCACCGGCGTCCCAATGCTCATAGTATGGGACTCACAAAGGAGTGTCTGGTTTTCAGGCACACCTTGGGGCCTCTGAGAATCCTGGGGACCTTGGTCAGGGATAGGGTATACTTGACATGTGTCAATTACTTTAAAAGGTTTTCAGCTGGCCCTGTTGCGTCTGGGGGAGCCTCCTTCTCCATCAGCAGAGCGAGGTCTTCAATTTTCACCCCAAAGCCCTGCCCCTGTCTTCATGGGAGCTTTCAGCTCTGCGATAGGGTTTTTAGTTTTATTTTTCATTTTGGTCAAGACCTGCTTCCATGGCCACTGCCTCGCCCCCATGCGCATTCTGCAGTTGCTTCCCCGCTCCCCGCTCTTCCAATCTGTCTGTTGGACTGTTTTGCTGTTTGAAGGAGATGAATGCTGCCGTGTTCCCTTGTCCGGAGCCCAAAGCACACATCAGATCATTCACAGCTTGTTCAGTCCATTTTTCTTCCAAAAAAGGAGACTTTGATACTTAGCATAAGTTAGCAAAATAAAGTTGTATTTGGTCTGGTCCTCTCCCAGAAACGGGGTTGGGGAAAGTCTGTGCATTTTTATTATTTTTTTAGCAATCAAGGTTTGACTTCTGGGCAATCCTGCATAGTAATGGCACTCCGGAGAGGGAAGGTGGCATTTTGCAAAGAGCATGTGCCACTGTTGGGGCTTTTTTTTCTTTTCGCAATGTTGGCTTCTAATTTTAGCAGAACAAATGGCTCCTTGGAAAACGTTCTGGCTTAGCCTGGGCAGGAAGAAGCCCATTGCTAGGTTCTAGCTCATATATTTGGACCATTCCCCCCCCCGCCGCCCTTCATCCGCTGAAGTAGTTCCTTTGTTGACCCATTTAATCTGAAGAGATTAATCAAGCACCTGACTGTGAGTGAGCGTGAACTTCAGGGCAAGCAAAGCAGAGCTGAGTTGACGAACTTTGCTCCAATCCCAATTCCCAGGGCAATCTTGGGTATGTTTACTACCATGGATTCTTCAGCTGTGGCTCCTGAGTTGCAGGGAGTTGGTGAACCCTGTGTTCCCTTCCAGCTCTGATGATTCTACTCTGATGTAAACCCCAACGATGTCTCTGGAGGTTTTTGAGCAGAGGTTGGTCCTGAAAGACCTGCATTGGCTCCCAGTACGTTTCCGAGCACAATTCAAAGTGTTGGTGCTGACCTTGAAAGCCCTAAACGGCCTTGGCCCAGTATACCCAAAAGAGTGTCTTCACCCCCATCATTCAGCTCAAACACTGAGGTCCAGCACTGAGGGCCTTCTGGCAGTTCCCTAACTGCAAGAAGCGAAGTGACAGGGAACCAGGCAGAGGGCCTTCTCGGTAGTGGCTCCCACCCTGTGGAACACCCTCCCATCAGATGTCAAAGGAATAAACGACTGTCTGACTTTTAGAAGACATCTGAAGGCAGCCCTGTTTAGGGAAGTTTTTAATGTTTGGTGTTTTATTGTGTTTTTAATATTCTGTTGGAAGCCGTCCAGAGTGGCTGGGGAGGCCCGGCCAAACAGGCGGGATATAAGTAATAATAATAATAATAATAATAATAATAATAATAATAATAATAATAATAGCCATCTGTCATGGATGTTTTAGCTGAGATTCCTGCATTGCAGGGGGTTGGACTGGATGACCCTTGCGGTTCCTTCCAATTGTACAATTCTATAATTCTTTGACTTCACTGTGGTGTAAAAAGGTAAAGGTAAAGGTACCCCTGCCCGTACGGGCCAGTCGTGTCCGACTCTAGGGTTGTGCGCTCATCTCACTCTAGAGGCCGGGGGCCAGCGCTGTCCGCAGACACTTCCAGGTCACGTGGCCAGCGTGACAAAGCTGCATCTGGCGAGCCAGCGCAGCACACGGAAACGCCGTTTACCTTCCCGCCAGTAAGCGGTCCCTATTTATCTACTTGCACCCGGGGGTGCTTTCAAACTGCTAGGTTGGCAGGCGCTGGGACTGAGCGACGGGAGCGCACCCCGCCGCGGGGATTCGAACCGCCGACCTTTCGATCGGCAGGTCCTAGGCACTGAGGCTTTTACCCACAGCGCCACCCACGTCCCTTCAAATGTGTACTCCCTGGCAGATGTGTATAGGCAAAGGTGGGAGAAACTATAACCCTCCAGATGTCCCTGGCCAGGTTTGCAGTAGTATCCCCTCTCCGAAAAAGAAGCAAATCTCAAAAAGTCAATGATGTGTGAGCATGCTCAATGGCAACGCAATGTTCTGTATCAATTGGAGAGAGAGAGAAACCAATTAAAGCAAATGAATAAAGAGAAAGACAGGGAGATTCCCAACAGCGGCATTCTGCAAGCTGGTGTTCTCCAAAGTCTACAACTCAACATCAACCCCAGCTAATACATTGGTGGGGGTGGAGGAAGCCATAGCTCAGTGGTAGAACATCTGTTCTCCAGGTAGAATTCAGCTCCCATATGAAGTGTGGAAAGCCACTGCCAATCAGAGTGGTCAGTCCTGAGCTAGACTGACCGATACACAGTAGCTTCCTATCTTCCTATGTCTATTGGTCTAGGTGAGGAAAAGTAGGGGCTAAGCCCCATTGCTTCCTGCAATTAGATTAAGATAATATCAAACTCTGTTGAAACTGGGTCCACAGTTGCATCTTGAATTCATGGGTGGCAAATCTGGGGTAGACCCTATCTCTACATCCTCTCCAGGGGAGGACTGGAAATTCTCCCCCAACAGTTCAGGAAGAACTTGAGAATGGGAAAGATTTCCGAAACTGTTCATGAAATTGTGAAGTTTTAGTTCAGGACTCCTGCTTCTCTGAATGCAAAGGTCAGTGATTAAAAGCAGCACAGTGACCCCTCTGAGAACTCATATAACCCAATAACTGTTTCCCCTCACTCCTCATATGCTCAGCCATGAGATACAGCCTTCTTAACATCTTCCTCTGGTTTTGATATTTTTAAGCAAGGTAATTATCTGGTGACAGCAGCCACGAAATTAAAAGACGCCTGCTTCTTGGGAGAAGGGCAATGACAGGCCTAGACAGCATCTTGAGAAGTAGAGATGTCACCTTGCCAACAAAGGTCCGTATAGTTAAAGCCATGGTCTTCCCAGTAGTGATGTATGGAAGTGAGAGCTGGACCATAAAGAAGGCTGATCGCCGAAGAATTGATGCTTTTGAATTATGGTGCTGGAGAAGACTCTTGAGAGTCCCATGGACTGCAAGAAGATCAAACGCATCCATTCTTAAGGAAATCAGCCCTGAGTGCTCACTGGAAGGAGAGATCGTGAAGCTGAGGCTCCAGTACTTTGGCCACCTCATGAGAAGAGAAGACTCCCTGGAGAAGACACTGATGCTGGGAAAGATGGAGGGCACAAGGAGAAGGGGGCGACAGAGGACGAGATGGTTGGATAGTGTTTTCGAGGCTACCAGCATGAGTTTGACCAAACTGCGGGAGGTAGTGGAGGACAGAGGTGCCTGGCGTGCTCTGGTCCATGGGGTCACGAAGAGTCGGACACGACTAAACGACTAAACAACAACAACAATTATCTAAACTCTGTATCCTAACTTCTGTGCCCATCACTCATAGCTCAAGCAAGGGACTGTCCAGAGTAACTTTTCAAAGACTTCCGGGACAGACAGGCAATGGGTGCTTTTTCTTAATTCGCACAAGGCTCTTTGAAGTCATCAATTATTATTATTTTAACAAAAGGAACAGGGAAATATGCTTTAAATGGCACACGGTACCAGCAAATAATATAGGTGACGGACATGGGGATCCTGACCTGTGTGCCTTTTTTTGTCTCTTAAAGAAGCTAGAACATCTTTTCATTTTTTTCCCTGTTCCATTTTAAACCCATCCCGGGAATGAAGGAGGCTCCTCACTCCTGTTGTCGGGAACAGAGGTGTGACTCAAATGTTTCCCAAAGTCCTTACAGTTCCAGGAATGTGGTAGCCCAGAAAGGAAAGCGACATAGATCTCAGCTACAGATACGGTGGAAATATATTTCATAGAATTGTGAAATTTTAGAGTTGGAAGGGACCATAAGGGTCACAAGTAGCCCAACCTTTTGGCAGGTTAGGATGAGAGGCAGTGGTTAGCTCAAAGTCACCCATTGAGCTTCAATGGCAGAGTAGGGATATGACCAGGACGATTGGTTGACTAGGAGCTTTGGGGTATAGGGCATGTGGTTTGTAGCCACTGTGGTGGAATCTAGACGCATATTAAAAACACTGTGAAAATGCTTTTTTTTAAAAAAAAAGCGTTTTTAAAAATATATTGAAATTGCCATAAGCTCACCATCCCCATCTAGTGTCGCATCTGTATAATGCACTTAAAACACACTAGAAACATTATATTTGCATGGCCAAGTCGTAAGTCTTACTCCAAGTAGACCAACTGAAATTAATTGGCCTAAGTTAGCCACATCCACGCGTTTCACTCTGAGTAGGACTGGATACACACCTGTGTGTTTCTGTTGAAGGCCGATAGCAATGGCTTTCCCTGTGTTGCAGACCACATGCTTTGAGAGTCCCCGTCCACTGTAGCCTAGTTCAGATGTAATAGGAAACCATGGTTTCTCACTATGTTAACAAGCTTATATGTGCCTCAGGTTCACGTGTTCTCCTGCTGCACCTCATGGTTGCGAAGCGTCATGTTCAGAAGCTTCCATTTCCACTTTTAAACAAACCACAGTTTCCCATGATGTCTAAAGCCCAGAAACCGTGGCTTACTTAGACTATGGCTCAGTGAGGCCAAGCCAGGGTTAAGCTGTGTTTTCAGAACCTGACTTGTTCTGAAATTGTGATTTCCTATTATGCCCCTAAAAGTTGCCAACACCACCTCCAGAAATATTTGAAATGACTCTGCTTTTCAGCAAGCCTGCCTTCCCCTCAGAATGGAGGATTTAATGACAGTGTTTTGTGACATGTAACACCTTGAGTCCAGCTCGTTTTTCAAAGCCGGCAAATCACAAGCTGAATGCGGGGTCCCAAAAACAAAACAAAAAGGAGAGTGTTTCGTAAATGTATATCCGCTGTTTCCAAAAATAATAGGGGAGATATTTTTAGTCTCAGTCCCAGCTGTAGCGCATTTGGAAAGTATGTGCTGTCTGCATAATGTAGAATTGTGACAATTGCTCCCCTCCTTTGAAAGTTTATTTTTAAGAAAACAAACTCTGTGTACTCTGCATCAATAGGCTGAAGGATACAAGTGCTAGCAAATCTAATAAGCAGTCCTGTTGGCGGAGAGGGGGAAGCCTCCAAGGAAAGAACAAAGCTTGACTTCAACAGGCACTAAAATCCCAATTCCGTTTCTGGGTGCCCCAATGCTGCCCTCTTCAGGAAATCTGGAGATCTTGCACATTAGCTTTTTACAAGCCTCACAAACCTGTCTAAAATCCCTGGTAGAGGACAAGGATCCTGAGATCACATTAAGGGTAGCCAAATTCTGTGCGATTGCCATGAAACTTAGGGAACAAGCTGTGCTATCGTAATGATTAAGGTTTTAAATGATAATTTTAGGTTATATGTTAGCGACTAAGTTTTTAATTTATATATATATTTTTAACTGTTGCTATATCTGTATTGTCCCTGTTATACCTAAATGGAAATTCAAATGTATCCTTATTGTGTTTTATGACTTCCTTGATACTGCATGTGGGCTGGAACTGGTCTGTGACCAAAATAATAAAATTCAGTTCAATTGAATTCAGCCTCACAAACCTTCCTGGGCCAAGGTTGGTACCGCTGCTTATTACAGCTGCCACCATTAACCCCCTCAACTCCAATATTAGCAGCTACAGTAGCTGTAACAAACTCAATTCTCCCTGGCACTAGTGTTCAAATCCCTTCTCGACCATGAAGCTTGTGACCTTCGGCTGCTCCCCAACTTTAAGCCTAATCTACTTCGCAGGGTTGTTTTGAGGAGTGGGAGAGCAATGTACACCAATTTGAGCTCCTAGGAGGAAAGGGGTGGCCATCACCATCATCACAATCAATCAGATTTTGGGTCCCTGTTTATCCAAAACTCAAGGTTTACAGAAGCACTAACATCTTTAGAGAGAGAAAGAAAAAACCCAAAGTGGGAGGAAACCCCAAAACAGCCCAATAAGGGCCTAGTCTTAGAAGGGAAAGGAAACCCCACAAAACTGAGAAAGGGGTGGAATGGAGTATCCTGAAACAAGGCGCGGTTGGATGGAACCTTGTACAGGAGCACTCCATTTTGTTGCAGGAACTTCTTGTAATTATTACCATAGTAAATTATTCAGGTGTCAACCTAGGTAGTTGGTAGTTTATCATTCCCTTTTATTTTTATTTGTTGAGCTATTTTTGTAAGCTTCTCTTATACTTCCGTGCAATCCAAAATGGCCGACAGTAAAATAATTGTAGTATCAATAAGGCCTCCCCCCTCTCGCCCCCCCCCCATAACCAAAACAAACAAATATCACAGCACGTAATAATCGTAAAAGCAACAGTCAGCAAATGAAAGGAGATTGCCTCCCGCTGGGGTCCTAGCAACAAGTGTGATTGCTTGTTTATTTAGTTCTATGCAGCCATTGCCCAGCATGGGATTCCAGGGAGGGTTATGTGTAGCTTTAAAAAAAATGAATTGGGGTAATACCGTCCACCTTCAAAAGCTTGGGCAAAAAGGCGCAACTGACGTCAAAATGTATGCAGTAGTGAGTTCAGATGAACTGCGGAGGGGAGTGTGTTCCAGAGTCTGAGGGCCAGCCACCACATTTGAGGCCCTCTCAAGCACCACCACCCCAGGCACTCGTAGAATTGTAGAGTTGAAAGGGAGCCCTTAAGGCTGGGGTCAGCAAACTTTTTCAGCAGGGGGCTGGTCCACTGTCCCTCAGACCTTGTAGGGGGGCTGGACTATATTTGGGGGGGGGGGAATGAACGAATTCCTATTCCCTACAAATAACCCAGAGATGCATTTTAAATAAAAGGACACATTAGGTAAAGGTAAAGGTACCCCTGCCCGTACGGGCCAGTCTTGCCAGACTCTAGGGTTGTGCGCCCATCTCACTCTATAGGTCGGGAGTCAGCGCTGTCCGCAGACACTTCCGTGTCACGTAGCCAGCATGACAAAGCTGCATCTGGCGAGCCAGCGCAGCACACACGGAACGCCGTTTACCTTCCCGCTAGTAAGCGGTCCCTATTTATCTACTTGCACCCGGGGGTGCTTTCGAACTGCTAGGTTGGCAGGCGCTGGGACTGTGCAACGGGAGCGCACCCCACCGCGGGGATTCGAACCGCCGACCTTTCGATCGGCAAGTCCTAGGCGCTGAGGCTTTAACCCACAGCGCCACCCGTGTCCCTAAAAGGACACATTCTACTCATGTAAAAACATGTTGATTCCTGGACCGTCCGCGGGCCAGATTTAGAAGGTGATTGGGCCAGATCCAGCCCCCGGGACCTTAGTTTGCCTACCCATGCCTTAAGGGTTAGCCAATCCAAGTCCCTGCAATGCAGTTACCACAGCTAATGAACTGTTTGCACAAGCTTCCTTTTGCCCCCTGAGAGCCAACCATTGTAGACAACTTCTTTTATTCCCGTGTTATTGGGTTTCCCCCCACATTGTCTTTCTTCTTTCCCTCTCCAGATGTAAATATTGCGACCGGTCCTTCAGCATTTCATCCAACCTCCAGCGCCACGTCCGAAACATCCACAATAAGGAGAAGCCATTCAAGTGCCACCTGTGTAATCGTTGCTTCGGCCAGCAGACCAATCTCGACCGACACCTGAAAAAGCACGAACACGAGAGTGTGCCAGGTAATGGGGAAGCGCAGGCCCAGAATTGTACGAGTGAAATGCGAGCCTTGATTTTCCCACCAACGGCTGCTTTTTAAACACTTTTTCAGAGGCAGAGAACCCAATGAGGCGATCTTTGGATAAGTGTTGTTCCCAGGTCAATTTGGCTTGTTTTCATTCGTTAGACTGATCGTGTGTCCTTCTTTACAGAGGACATTCCTCTGCTTGAAGGAGTCCTCTATTTAATGTGCGCCTGTTCTCTTCTGGCACCGCAGTGAGCCAGCACACGGGCGTCATCACGAACCACCTGGGGACCAACGCCTCCTCGCCGACCTCAGAATCAGACAACCATGCACTTTTAGATGAGAAGGAAGACTCGTATTTCTCCGAAATCAGAAACTTTATTGCAAATAGCGAGATGAACCAATCGTCGGGCTTAGCAGATAAAAGGTGAGTTGAGTTTCAACGTGCTTTTAGTGATGGAGCTGGGAGAGTATGAATTGTGAGCTTCCGGGTCAGAATCAGAGCCTACCCTCACAATGGGGAAGGGGCCATTTGGTTAGACATTAATTTTGGGAAGCGGGGTGGCTAGCCTAGCTCAGAGGTAGAGCACCTGAATTGCTGTTTTTGGACTCCAACTCCCATCATCCCTAGCTAGCAAGACCAGTGGTCAGGGATGATGGGAACTGTAGTTCAAAAACAGGTGAGATCCAAGTGTGGGAAAACCCGATCTAAGATAACTTTGTACATTCACTATGGTGACAGTAACAACCTCAGCAGACATCTGCAAGGATTTTTGGGGAAGAGCTTAAAGGAATTAGGAAACAGCCTTATGGAAATGGATTGCTTGCGTTATAATTATAGTGCACTTCTGACTTAGTTTGGTATTTACAACCCAGTTCTACAGTGCGGTGATAGAGCATGTCCGAGCTGCTTCACTACAGACTTCAGGTGGGGGCTCACATAAATGCTCCTTCATACAAAAAAAGGGAGTAAAAAATCCTCACACATAGAAAATAGTGTTTCAGGGAAAAGATTGACATGCTAGATTTCTGAATACAGTGGTACCTCGAGTTAAGAACTTAATTCATGCTTAACCTGAAACTGTTCTTAACGTGAGGTACCACTTTAGCTAATGGGGCCTCCCACTGCCGCCGCGCAATTTCTGTTCTCATCCTGAAGCAAAGTTCTTAACCCAAGGTACTATTTCTGGGTTAGCAGAGTCTGTAACCTGAAGCACCTGTAACCCGAGGTACCACTGTACAAGGATTTATTTGTGAGTGTCGGGAATCAGATTCCACAACCTATAAGAAAATGGTTTCCTCAGCCTCACCTTGTGTAAACATTACTGCTAATTTGCCTTTTAGATTTCAGCATGTATGGACCTCCCTGCCACAGTAACTCAGGGCTGCTGAATGTGACCTTTTCCCACTGCCCCATTCCCTTAGAATGGATTCGGAGCATCTTAGTAGCTTGATACAACAGGCTTAGGCAGGAGACGGACACCAGCACTGGCTTTGATCTCCTTGCAGCCAAGAGGAAAATATGGCAATCTCATTCAGTACCAAAACAAAAAAACAAAATCCCTGTGAAATAGTTTGCTTTTAAAACTTCGTGCTTTAGATCTAAATGAGAAAAGGAAACCCTGAAAAGTCAAGGATGGAGTTTTGGTGGAAAATCAGGAATCTTCCCACGTTAGTTGCAAACACACACAAATTGATACCAAATTAGAGGTGGAATCCTCAGCAGACTGGCATAATTGATCTCTAGGGAGAATGAAATTGGGGGGGACCTGGCTTTTGTATGCGTGGGTTTTTGTTGTTGTTGTTTTTAAATTACAAGCAGCTTCTGAGCTTGTTTAGAATACGTGATGAGATGCAGGGCTCACAGGAAGCTTGTGTGCTCCCTACCCTTAATTTTTTTAAACCTCACATTGACTGGGGGAGATATTTAATCTGCTTACAGACCAAGAGAAGAAATAAATAGGGTCCTTTTTGTACCCTGCACTCAAATACACACTCTCTCTCCATCCTACTAGGCAGTGCCAGTTGCAATTATGATCAGGCTATTCTGATCTTTCCAAATGCCATGTAATGTGAACATGGACATTTAAGAAAGAAAGAAAAAAAAAATACTTAATTTGTGTGGGTTTTTTGCATCAAGAATTCCATGCTTGGAGTGGGGCCCCCAAGTCAGACACTAATCACGGCATTTCTGATGGCTCTTGAGGGTCGATGCTTATTTTCTGTCTGGGACAATGTTGTTCCTGGATCCTGGTGGGACTGTGGCAAAGATATCATCTGAATTAAGCATGGCAAGCTGTCAGCGCTGGGTTTATAGTCAGCCAAGCATACAGAACTTTGAAATGAGTGATGTCATTCAAGTTCCTTATTTACCTGGCATGGGCTGTGAACTTCTCCAGCTCAGCTGTGTTATATCGATTGAGTGTCATTTCCATCCAGCTTAGAATACAGGCCATTTCAGAGCATCAGCGAAGATCCCTGGGAAATAAAAGTTTTCCATAGTGCCTTAAGTATACTATGGCAATCTCAAACACCGTGCAAATTGTTGTTGCTGCTGCTGCTGCTGCTTTTCTCACCAAGGGACTGGAAGCAACTTAACATTAAATACAATTTAACTTTGTTAAACTTTCTTCCCGTTTTCCCCCATCTTTTTTCTTGTTTTTCTATTTTCTTTTTGTGTACATTCTTTTTCTTTCACAACAGAACAATGTGTTTGATTATGTGTGATTTTTAATGTGGAAATCAAGATTATTTTTAAAAAAACCCCATGGAAGACAATTAAGAGCAGCCAAGTTAAAATCTAAAAAAACAAACAGGCCCAGCTATACAGATAAAAGGCAGGGCTTAGTTATCCTACCCAACTAAAAGAAGCCACAGCTCCAGTCCTTTCAAATTAAGGGCCAAAAGCCCAGGTAAAGAGAAGAGCCTTAAAAGCAGGGGTGTACCTATGGACTGCTCAAGTCGGCCCACCAAGGGTACAGACCCAAAGAGGTGCAAAAAGTGTGTCTCTTCACTCTTGGTCAGAGTGACTAGGAGCCCACCTGCTACGACGTCTCCCAGCAGCTTTTCCACTGCTCGGGGCAGCCGGGCAAGGTGTGCAGGCTTTTCTGGGCTCCTTGGCAGAGAAATTTGGTCACCAGCAGGGGGCCCCTTTTCCTAATGGCACTGTTAGATGTGTGAGTGGAGCACCCAGTGGAGTTTGCGGGGGGGGGGAAAGAATGAGAGTGGGTGAGGAGTTGGAGGAGGGAATGGAAGAAGAAGAAGAAGAGGAGTTTGGATTTGATATCCTGCTTTATCACTACTCGAAGGAATCTCAAAGCGGCTAACATTCTCCTTTCCCTTCCTCCCCCACAACAAACACTCTGTGAGGTGAATGGGGCTGAGAGACTTCAAAGAAGTGTGATTAGCCCGAGGTCACCCAGCAGCTGCATGTGGAGGAGCGGAGACCCGAACCCGGTTCCCCAGATTACGAGTCTACCGCTCTTAACCACTACACCACACTGGCATGGGGGAGGCAGAAGGGAAAGCAGCAAACTGAGGGAGGAGGGAAGAAGGCAGACTTCACCAAGGTGGAGGAGGGGAGGCAGAACAGAGCAGACCTGACCCTGATGGTCACGGGGGGGGAAGTCACTGGCGAATGCAGAAAGCGACAAAAAGCAAACTTTTTGAGTTTCTGGTCCATGGTCTCTCCTGACTTCAGAGGCACAAGGGAGCCCCGGTATGCCTCTCCCTAAAAGTAGATCCATTAGTACCTGGGATGCTATAAGGAGTGCGCTCAATTGTAGCCCATGAAGCTGTAGGCCGTGGGACATGTACTTTCCGGGTAAAAAGCATGGGACGTGGGCGGCGCTGTGGTCTAAACCGCTGAGCCTCTTGGACTTGCCAATTGGAAGGTTGGCAGTTCAAATCCGCATGACGGGGTGAGCTCCCGTTGCTCTGTTCCAGCTCCTGCCAACCTAGCAGTTTGAAAGCATGCCAGTCAAAGTAGATAAATAGTTACCACTGTGGCGGGAAGGTAAACAGTGTTTTTGTATGCTCTGGTTTCTGTCACAGTGTTCTGTTGTGCCCGAAGCGGTTTAGTCATGCTGGCCACATGACCTGGAAAGCTGTCTGTGGACAAACGCTGGCTCCCTCGGCCTGAAAGTGAGATGAGCGACGCAACCCCAGAGTCACCTGTGACTAGACTTAACTGCCCAGGGGTCTTTTAAAAAGGTAAAGGTACCCCTGCCCGTATGGGCCAGTCTTGACAGACTCTGGGGTTGTGCGCCCATCTCACTCAAGAGGCCGGGGGCCAGCGCTGGGACCGAGCAACGGGAGCGCACCCCGCCGCGGGGATTCGAACCACCGACCTTTCGATCGGCAAGTCCTAGGCGCTGAGGCTTTTACCCACAGCGCCACCCGTGTCCCAAGGGGTCTTTTACCTTTACCTTTTTACTTTCCTGGACATAAAACATTCTCAAAGGAGCAGAGGTTAAGAAGGCATGTGGATGAGAAAATGTCCTAGCATATTTCTTATAACCCAGCAGCCGAAAAGCACCTTTACAAAGATGGGCGTGACTCTCAAACTGAAAGTCATCTTTGTTCTCTGTTTACCACAACCCCCCTCCAAAACCTTTGCACTTGCAACCCACAGGCCTGAAATCCAGAATGCTGATGGCAACTCCCAGTGCCATGGCCTCCCAAATGACAAAACGGAGGATGTCGACGAGGAGGAGGAAGAACTGGAAGAGGAAGACGATGACAGCCTGACAGGGAAGTCACAGGACGAGACGGCATCGCCGACGACAGAGCCGCAAGGAGGGTATGAGGATGAGGAAGATGAAGAGGCCACGTCCCTTACCATGAGTTTTGACCACACCCGAAGGTGGGTGGGACAGGACTTTCAGTGTGTGGTGGGGGGAACGCCTGCTTTTCCCACCCCTCATTGGCAAGTTGTGGGGGGATCGTGAACCATCCATTCGGCGTGGCTATAGCATCTGCCCTAGAGGTGCATTGGTACCTCTGCAATGAAGGGAGTCTAGCTCAGCTCTCAGCATTAGCCTTGAGCTGCGGTGACAGGCAAAGCTACAAAACATCATCAGCATCCCGTGCAAGCTTCCGCAGGTTGCAGAGAGAGCCTTTGGACACCCTTTACGCATGTCTGCTTCATCCAAGGCATCCGGGGATCATGGGAAGTGCAGTTCCCATGGGTCCCTGTATGCCCTGGCAGGCACGTCTAAGGTCCCCTCTAGCTTGTGTCCCTCCCAGCATGGATGAGAACTCTCAACCTCACACAAACACACACACGGCTGGGAAATAAGGCATAGTCAAGTGTAGTATGGATCACCCAGCATTTTTCAGGAAAGACTGTGAGGCTCAATCCACTCATCAAGAGCATGGCAGTTTCTGAAACCCTCTATGCTTGCCATATTTCACCTGCGGTTGGTGAGGCCTTTGCTGTTTTTGCTCCTCACCATGGCGTTACCCTGAGGGAACTAGGTGCTCCAGAGCCTAGAGGGGGCCTTTTGGACTCTTTTGTCTCCATTATGAAGTCCATAACTTTCAGCTACACACACACACACACACACACGTAAGCAGACGCCCACAGCTTCCTCTTCCTTGGTCTCAGTGTTGCCCTTTGTAGAACTCGGCAGGGAGTTCTACAACTCTAGAACTGTTTGGCTCGGCCTGTCGTTGGCTCTGGCGCCACCTGCTGTTAACCTCCCCGCCTTCCACCCTACCATCTGGATGGGCACCAGCTGGTGCTGACCCCCCCCATACAAGCAATCAAGAGGCATTATCAGAGTGCAAGGACACAATCCCGCCAAGCAGAAGCACTTGGTGGTGGGTGGCAATAGCAGGAGCAATGGGGTCTAGGGAGAATCCCAAGGGTTGCATTGTATAGCAGGGCCAGGGCAGGCACTGAGAACCCCTTTGAGGCATCTCCAGGGAGAGCTCCTCAGCTGGGCAGTGAGACCAAATGGCGCATGCAGCACCACATGCCAGTGAGACGGCGTGCGATCCAAGCTCACACGGCCATGCCCACGCCATGCTTTGCTTGTTCCTCGGTGTCATTTGCAAGCCCCTCATCTGTCCGTCCATGTGCCTCTCTCTCTCTCTGTGTGTGTGTGTGTGTGTGTTGTGTGTGTCCCTCTCCCTTTAACACGTCCTGCATGTAGCTTCCGGGCAGCTCCTCCACGTTCTGTGCATGTTGTCAGCCCCTGCCCGAGTTTGGCGATGCTCACCTTGGCCCCGTTTGTGAACAGTCAGATGCGCTAACAGGTCCACCCCTCCCCTCCCCTCCTGGTCATTGGTACAGGTGTGTTGAGGAGGACGAAGCCGGCCTGTTAGATTTGGAGCAGTTACCGCAGTTTGGGAAGGGGCTGGATCTACGCAAGGCGTCCGAGGAAGCTTTTGAAGTTAAAGATGTGTATAACCCCACCTTAGACTCTGAGGCAATAAAACAGACTCTGTACAGGCAGGCTAAAAATCAGGTAGGTGTACCCTTGGGGTATTTTCCACAGTTTTCCCTCTCGTGGTGACGAAGGGGGTTCAGCCCGTTTGGTTTCCTTTCCTCGCTGAAGGTCCCCATGAGCAATGGCCAACACTGGGAACTCGCAGCCAAGCAGTGGCAGGTCCCGCAAAACATTATAGGGGCATGTTTTCATCAGGAGTTATGGGTTGGGCTGCCTACCACTCTGACCTCAGAGGCGATGGTGGGAAGGACAAATGGGTCAACCTGCACGGCCAATTTCTCTCGGGTTTTACAGGCTGAGCCAGTGTTTTGAAGATTTGCTGTGGGGAGCGGTACCAAGAAAATGCATCAAACATGGACATGAGTTGCTAGAAATTTTGAGAGTCCTTTTCTCGGTGGTGGGGTAGGTTGCATACCTTACTTACAGGAGAGGTAGCCTTGGGTAGATGGTTTGGTGGTGGGGTTTTTTATTTCACTTTTTTAATAAGTCCGAGAACTTGCCAAGTGCAATTGGCAGCCAGCAAACCTCCCTGTCTTACCGCATCCTTCAAAATTCCTTCCAGCCACGTGGCTGTTTCTGCACTAGATCATTATGAAATGCTAGCAGCAAGAAGGAATGCAGAAGGCTGTGGAGCAGGACCAGCCAATGTGGTCCCCTCCAGATGTTTTTGGATACCAGCCTCCATCACCCCTGTTGATTGAGGATGAAGGGAGTCATAGCCCAAGCAAACCAGGAGGTCACTACCTTGCCTACTCCTGCTGTAGGTCATGGGTGGAGAATCTGTGGCCCTCCAGATGTTGCTTGAATAAAACTCCTATCATCCCTTGCCATTGCCCATGCTTGCTGAGGCCCATGGGTGTCCAACCACTTCTGGAGGACCATTGGTTCTCCAGCCCTGCTTTAGAGAGACCAAGGTGCTCGCTGGCCGTTGAATTATGGAGAAATAGGTTCAACCCAGCACTTGTTTCATACTGCCATAGCTTGCCACTCCTCGCCTTGAAAAAGGAAGAAGCAAGAATCCTTGGCAGGAGCATTGGTGAAGTGGTAGAGATCCTTTCAACTGCCTCTCACATCACCACTCTTTTCTTAAACTCAAGAAACATTGCTTTGCAAACTGCAAAGTTCTGTTGAGAGCCCAGCTGCCCACCTTCTCAACTTCTCAGACCACCCTCTGCATCAATACGGGTACCAATTTGGGTGGTGGTCTTGCGGGTTGCAGCCAGCTGAGTTCTGCTCAGAGAAGACCCATTGAAATGAACAAGTCTAAGTTCTTCATTGCAATGGGTTTACTTTGAAGATGGTCCCTATGCAACACAACCCCAGTATTCATTCACCCTGCCACAGCATCCCTGACCCTGGGGAGATTTGAGGTCTGTGAAAATTCTCTCTCACAGCTCCCCCTAGCCTTTCTTCTGAGAACTGCAGTTATGAAGGTTTTTACCTGGGAAGATAGAATTGCTGTTTAAGCCATCTGTAGGAAAGACCCTCCCTGTCAGTAGCTGCAGAGAACCTCAAGTTCCCCTACTTTTGTTTTGTGTAGGAAACTTAATTATCATGTTCTTCTTTGTTGAGAAAGAGAGGGAGGTCTCATTTCCTGTTTCCATGCATGTCTCTTTGTCTTTGTCTTTTTAATACTAATATGCCAAAAACCTACTAATTTTTTATGGACTTTGTGTTCTCTGTTCCTGTTTCCCTGCAATTTCAGTCTTGGTTTCACAGAGGGCTCCTGTTGTTGCTTTGCTACAATGGTATATACACCAACACCGCCACAGAATTGTGATTTGGCCAAAGGCAGTAGAGCTGAGAAGGAGGGAGAACACAGGATTTCATTTCCCAAACCTAAACCTTTTTACTGTTCACTCTGAAGTCCATCCTCCTCTTTTCCTAGTGAGGAATCCTGCACTCATCTCCCTGGATTCCATGGTCAACATTTGTTATTGGATCTCAGTAGGATGGGGAACACAGGACATTGTTTCCCCTGGCCACACTTTTCTGATACTGATTCAGACCAATCAGTCTGGTGGAAACAGCATCCTCTGGTTGGATGGCCATGTGTCAGGGATTATTTAACTGTGATTCCTTCATTGCAGGGGGGGGTTGGACTAGATGGCCCTTGGCGGTATCTTCCAACTCTACAGTTTCTATGAAAAAAACCCCCCTCTCCCCCTGGATTCCAGAGCAAGGACAGCCTAAGAACCCATCCAGTTCAAGCAGTGGTGCCATCAGGGGGCAGAGGTCCAGGGATGCCCCACTCAGCACAAATGAGTTGGGTGCCTCCCCCCTTCCCATTGCAGCAGTGTTCACATTTGGAAGCAAGTGGTGACATTGCCATCTCGAGGGGGGGGGTAGTTTTCTCGGGCTCAAGGGTCACATTGCCACCTTCCAAGCCCCCAGAGGCTGCATGCCAGAGGTGGCGAGTGCGGCTTAAAAATGGGCATGGCCACCAGAGCAGGTGGGAGGCAGGTCATCCCCTTCCCCATTGATCCAATCAATTATTTGGTTTGGGGCAAGGGGGCAACCTCAGTCAGGGAGTGAGGGAACTGAAACATAAGGATGCCAGAGGATGAGATGTGTAAACTGAGCCATTCTGATTTCCCATCTCACCCCGCCCCACCCCAAAAGCAAGGGTAGTCAACATGGCACATTCAAGAGGCTACTGAACTGCAACTCCCGTCATCTCTTGGCCATATGGGCTGGAGTTCATGGGAGACAACCTTGGCCACCACTGAGATTTAATCAGAGCAGATGCATAAGAATTAAGAGACCTTGGGCGCTCGTGCCCGTTCCCTTCGCTGGGTTGCATTCAGTGCTAGGTAAAGGTAAAGGGACCCCTGACCATTAGGTCCAGTCATGGCCGACTCTGGGGTTGCGGCGCTCATCTCGCTTTATTGGCCGAGGGAGCCGGCATACAGCTTCCGGGTCATGTGGCCACCATGACTAAGCCACTTCTGGCGAACCAGAACAGCGCACGGAAATGCCGTTTACCTTCCCGCCAGAGCGGTACCTATTTATCTACTTGCACTTTGACGTGCTTTTGAACTGCTAGGTTGGCAGGAGCAGGGACCGAGCAACGGGAGCACACCCCGTCGTGGGGATTCGAACCGCCGACCTTCTGATCGGCAAGCCCTAGGCTCTGTGGTTTAACTCACATTCAGCGCTAGCCCTGCTCAAAAGAAACCCACTGACATTAACAGGCATGACCCAATTAGGTCTATTGATTCCAGTGAGTCTACTCCAGTGAGTCTACTCCAGTGAGTCTACAGTAAGAGCTGTTCGACAGTGGAATTTGCTTCCAAGGAGTGTGGTGGAGTCTCCTTCTTTGGAGGTCTTTAAGCAGAGGCTTGACAACCATATGTCAGGAGTGCTCTGATGGTGTTTCCTGCTTGGCAGGGGGTTGGACTCGATGGCCCTTGTGGTCTATTCCAACTCTATGATTCTATGATTCTATGATACTCTGAGTAGGACTTGGTTGGCTACAAGCCAGCGGGGATATATTCTGAGCGTGAAGAATGCCAGACACAACTCTTGAAGTCCGGGAACATCTGGAGAGCACAGTGCTTGCTGCCATAGTCCCATTCAAAAACATGGTGCACCTTCAGGAAAAGTGCTCTTGCACCAAAGTCCCTTGAAGTGAATGGGGGTGACATTTGTTTATCATGACTACATTTATGCCCTGCCTTTCCTTTTAGGAGCTTAAGGTGGTGTGCGTCATTCCTCTTCTACTATTTCGTCCTCACAACAACCCTGTGAGGTAGGCTAAGTTGAGAGACTGTGCCCCCTTAGTAAGCCTCACAGCTGAGTGAGAGATTTCAAACCTGGGCTTCCGGGTCTCAGCCCAGCCCTCTAACCACTAAACTGCACTGCCTTTCTTAGAATCCTGACACACACACACACACACACACACACTTTTCTTTGCTGACAAAGATCTGACCAGCATGTATTGATGCCCTCTTTCCCTCGCTGTGTTTTTCTTCTCTTCCCCCCCTTAGGCTTATGCAATGATGTTGTCCCTTTCTGAGAACACTCCCCTCCATCCTTCTTCCCAGAACTCTCTGGATGCTTGGTTGAACATGGCAGGTGCTGCTTCTGAGCCAGGAGGCTTCAGCGCCGTCGGTCATCTCTGAGAGGCTGGAGGAGAAGGCGCCCGGCCCGAGATCCCAAGCAAGGAGGCCGAGGTGCCACACGTCTCCCCTCTCAGACCTTCTGGTCAGCAGCGGAGGACTGGACAGGAAGCCCTCGGGGCTCACCCACCCACCCACCACCGGGAGAAGGAACCCACCACGGACAGCTCGTTCCCTGTTTCGTTGGACCTAGGAAACCACCACCGTAGCAGACCCGGGGGCCTGCCATCTCTCTGATGCATAGTACATCCCAGGAGTGAAACTTGCTTCCTGCATTGGGCTGGGGGGGGAGGAGACCAGGTGCATTTGTCGTTAGCAAATCCAGTCGTGCCCCACCCTCTCACGTTACAGACCGTGTTGCTGAGCCAGCAAAAACCTCCTTGTAAACTACCCCACATGAAGTCCTTTGACCCTCGTATCCAGTTCTGCTAAGAAGAAGAAAACGACGTTCTAGGCCAGGTCCCATTCTAATGAAGTCACTGGAGTTCCGCTGAGATTAGGACTTCTGTTGAATTTCGTTTGCTTCCTTCCCCCTCTTTAAAAGAAAAAGAAAAAGGTGTCAAGTTCCTTTCCCTCATCTTATGTGCATTGTGTAAACCCTTCTTCAGATGGCCTCTCTGTGGGTAATAACCTCTCTTGTCCCCCAGTGGTTGCCTTTTGGAAAGCTTGTTGGCACACTTTTTTAAAGGAAAAAAAAACCTCTGTAACTCCGGTTTACAGCCACCCATTGCCACTTCTCTTGAGGGGTTTTCACACGTTACGTTTGACAATGAGTGCACAGTCTTTCTGGCCCGGGGTGCACATCTACTGAGCTGTACGCTTGTACGGTTATTCACATGTAACAATCAAGGAGTGTAGAGTCTGTGTGCAAGTCACAATTTTCCACACACACGCTGATAGCTGTGTTCAGCATAATGTGTGGAACAAGCCACGCATTATGTGACGTTCTGACGCTGAGCTGAGGAGCAGCTGGGGCTGTGGAAGGAAACTTTGTGTATGGCCTTCACTATCCCACCTGCCCAGGTTGTGCTTATGATGGAAAATAGCCTGTAAAAGTTTGAAATGGGCAAGAGAGGTGCTATGTAATTTCCCTTTCCTGTTGCACGGCCAGAGAACAGAATTACTCCCCTATAGCTTGAAGTAGTTAAGGTTCTGGACTTTGTGGTGGTGGGGAGAACAAAATCAGCTCCTCTGATAAATGGGGCGTACAGACCCTCCTTCCCTCTGACCCGAGAAGCGTCGCAAGTCTTACTGAAATTCCCTTTGCTTCCCTTTAAACTCCTCTGTTTGCTTGTTTTGGTCTGCCAGATTGCCAAATCTGCCTCGCAGTTGCGCTTTCGGTGGAACTTTGACAGCAGCTTTGACACAGGTGTGGATCGGGGCCACTCCTGGGGTTCTTAAAGTGGGACCTGGGGGCATCTATCAAAGCATCTTGCTAGGATTGAGCTCCACAATTTTTGTTTCCCACCCAGGGATGGGCTGGCAACCTCTCTTGCAGACTGTGGCAGCAGAGTTTTGCACAGAGACCTGGCAGAGGGCAAACCGTGAGTCTTGTGCCAACAGGTGGGAAGCCTCAAGTCTGTTGCCAGGTCAGCTCCCATGCAGAACACCAGACTTCGCCAATCGGGTGCCATCCAGATGTTGTGGTCACAACTCCCACCCGCCCCAGCCAGCACAGTGGGAATTGTAGTCCAAAACATCTGAAAGGCACCAGATTGGCGAGAGGCTGTTGGCAAGAAGACAAGGTCCCAAGACAACACCATCCAAAGCCAGCCTTATTCCTCTCTCCCCTAACTTCTTCAGTATAAAGGGGCAACCTTTCCCACCATATCCAGAACCACTATTTAAACTCATTCCTAAAGCAAGGACAAATAGTATTACGAAGGTATCTGATTAGTTTTTGTTTATTTTTGTTTGCAGATTTTCAGTTCTGATTCCCTCCCGTCCAGTGCCAATGTTTTCAAATCATCTCTAGATCAAGTTCCAGGACACAGAAATAGTATTGAGACCTTAATGCCGAATTGTTGTGAGTCCAGCATTCGCTTTGCTTAGGGTTCATCCAGGTTTAGGGGGTTTTAGAGTACAGGGTTGGTTTTTAGAGTAAGTTTGGGCAAGAAGGGTAATTATCAGGTGCTCAGGTCTTCCTGTAGTTGCTGCCAAGGCAGGAACTAGACAATAGGGCAGAGGTTGCCAAAGAGATGCCCGTGCGCACACATCTGCCCACAGAGGTCCTTCCTGCTACCCATGTGATTCCCCTCTCCAGTTTCAAGTTCAGCTTGGAAGCAGCATTCTGTGGTAACCAATAGCATGCTGTGGTTGTGTCTGCTGGCTTGTGGGGTGTGCAGCACCTGTGAGTTATCTCTGGCTTGCAAATGGGCCCCGCAGCTCCCCAAAGCTTGGTGACACCTGCATTGTGGCAGGCAGGAAGTGATTGTACCGGAGGAAACATTAAGATGGGTGTTTCTCCTCCTCTCTCTCCCTCCCCCCATCCCAGTATTATCTAATGGGTGGGGGAGAATGTGAAACAACATAAGCAACATCCTGCATTTATTTCTGTCCCTGTTGTACTTCACTGGCTTTGTGGCACCATGAATTTTTGTTTTACGCGGTGTTACAGGGAGAGAGGGAACCAGACAGCTAGGGTTAACCGATTGCAGTCAAAGGCACCACCTTGTAGATAACATCAAGCTCTGACTTCAGAAACCACCTCATCTTCCCATCTCTGTGTTGCTGTACAGTCGTACCTTGCTTCTTGAATGCCTTGCGAGTTGCACGTTTTGGCTCCCGAACGCCACAAACCCAAAAGTGAGTGTTCCAGTTTGCGAGCGTTCTTTGGAACCCCAACATCCAACTCAGCTTCCGCGGCTTCCGTTTGAGTGCAGCAAACTCCCACAGCCATTTGGAAGGCACGCCTTGGTTTTCGAGCGTTTTCGAAAGTCGAACAGACATCCGGAATCGATTACGTTCGGGTGCCATGGTACGACTGTACTGGAGACTTTGCATTCTGAAATAGTTGGCTCTCCCATCTCTTTCTTTTCCCATTGATCACTCTGCACCAGGCCCTTCCTTACATAATTGCCCATGCCCTGTAGAAAGGAGTTCCTTACAATGGCATAAACTTAGATCAGCTTTATTATTCCAGTTTACCTATTCTGGCTCCCCACCCTCCCAAAAAAGGATATTGGGAACTGTGGTTTGGTCAAGGTGATACTCTGTTGAAGAGATTGCTAGGTCTCCTGGCAGTGCTATGTTTCCCTGGGAGAAAGGAAATATGGCCAAATCAGTTTGCAATCTGTAGTGCAGATGTGCCCCATGTTAACATTTTACAGGCCTGCGCAAATACCCAGAAGTCATTTCCAAGTCTTGAAGCTAAGTGTCTATCTGGTGCCTTAAGGGCTGTATGCAATCAAGTCCTACTCAGAATTGGATCCAAGTTAGTGATTAATTTCAGCCAGTGTTGTCTGAATAAGATGAGCATTGGTTGGATAAAAGTTTCAGGTGCCAGGGTACCTTCTCACATGCATTATCATTCATATATTTTCAAGTTTTGCTTTTAAAATCCAGCTTTTTTTGGGGGGGGTGAAGCTTACAACTTTAAGTCTTGTCAATAAATTGGAAGGCAGCCAATTTTTTAAAAAAAAAAAATACTTCTACCTACACCTTCCCGCAAAACCCTAAATCTCCTAAAACCTAATGGCTCCAGTAATAGGGTTGCCATAGGTCCTCTACTTCCAGGACACGTTCTCTTTTTCATGGGTATGTAAAATCAGAGTCATCATAGACATCCATAGTTAAAAGCAGAAGTCAGCAAATGTGTCCTCTTTTTTGCTCATCAAAATATGGCAACCCTAAATTAGTTGGGACTTTGCAGAGGGGGGGGGGCAAAGGACACACCTGAGCTGAACTGAAAATTTTCAGAGAACACTTGTCAGAAATAATATTTTGAGATGTTTAAGTGCTGGTGGTGACCACTGTTTGTATTACCTGATGTCCCAGAATAATGTATTTTGGAATGTACAAAGTGGTGGTTATGCTGTCAGATCTTAAATTTCAATGGCAAAAAAAAAAAAAAATCCCCAAATCCTTAAGGGGGAAAAAAAGACATTTTCAAATTTCTCCTCTCCCTGGATAACTCTGGCAAAATGGTCCCGTCCAACCTTTCCTTCCTTCCTTCCTTCCTTCCTTCCTTCCTTCCTTCCTTCCTTCCTTTCGATGCTTTATTAACTCACTAATGCATTGAGATAAATCAAAAGTTTTTTTACAAGTAAAATGCAATTAGGGTTTCCTAAAGTACAATAGCATTGTAAGAAACTCAGAGCAGCGTAAAAGTTCGACGTTGTCATTAAACTTATTCCAGAACATTACAAACAAAACCCATTTTGCCCCAAAGTGCATAATGGTTGACTTATGCAAATTCTTTTTTTGAATATGTTAACTTGATCCATATTCATACAGACCCAATCATTTCTATCTACTTGGCTTCTGTAGGGAATTGACTTCTCTTCCATTTCTTGGCAATTGCTACTCTTGAAGCTGTTAAAAGATTGACTGCTATTTCTAGGTCGTTTTCCAAGATAATGCCTTTCCAATAACCAAGCAAGAAAATTTCAGATTCTAATGGTATGAATGTTGGGTCTTTCTAACTTCTTCATCTGCAAAGAAAGTGGAAAATGTGAAAAGGTCATTTGCACATTGCTCTTTAAAAAAGAAGGATAGATTCACATTTTAGCAAACGTGCTTGATTAGCTGCTGTTGCTTTAGACATCACTGCCACCAAATAAGTCTCACCTGTATTTCAGGAATAAAATCCTGTAGAGAATTGAAGAGTTGGGAGGGACACTAAGGGTAAAACACCTCTAACTTCAAGCCTTACTGAGGCAGTGCTATTTCTGAGCATCGACACTGTGATTTCAGTTCTTCTGCTTAGCTAAGATGCGCTGAGATGTTTCATCCCATATAACAAAGCCACCTTAGATCAGATTTGATCTTCTTGTCCAGTATTGTCTCCTCCAAAGGAGGAGAACTTTCCACAGTCTCAGGAACGGGGTCTTTCCAATCACCTGTCACCTGAGAGCCATTTTTTAAACTGGAGATGTCAGGTTTTGAACCTGTGACCAGCTGCATGTCAATGCTTTTCACTGAGCTGTGAGATCTTCCCTATCGGTTGTCAAGTATTCTGCTTCCTAGATTAGCATGGAGGGCTGATGAAAGCCATATCACTGGCAGAATGGCTATTTGAATGTTCTTCCGAAGCCTGGTCTGGCTCCAGAATCTCTGTGTTCATCATGCAAGACCCACCAATGGACATCCTTAATTGTGGAGCGACGGCAAGGATCATACAAACCAAGGGAAAAACCTTTCCCTGTAAGAAACCTCCTTCCTCTAAGAGGAATGAAGAGACCGGGCAAATTCTCTCCTTTTGTGCTGAGCTTTGAAGGAAAGATGGAAGGACCTTTCAGGTGCTGATGGCTCGGCGAGGCTTCTGGCTCCCAGGACTTTTGGTCAACCTGGATGACATCTGGTGTCAGCCGTGCTGCAAAACATATACAGATTCTTGTGCATCTTCTCTTCTCACTTTTGGGGAATTTGAATGACACCAACCTTAGCGCACCTCCCTACAGGTGAGAGTCACAGCCAGTTTGGTGTAGTGGTTAAGAGCGGAGGACTCGTAATCTGGTGAACCGGGTTCGCTTCCCTGCTTCTCCACATGCAGCTGCTGGGTGACCTTGGGCTAGTCACGCTTCTCTGAAGTCTCTCAGCCCCACTCACCTCACAGAGTGTTTGTTGTGGGGGAGGAAGGGAAAGGAGATTGTTAGCCGCATTGAGACTCCTTAAGGGGAGTGAAAGGCGGGATATAAAGTCCGAACTCCTCCTCCTCCTCCTCTTCCTCCTCCTCCTCCTCCTCTTCTTCTTCTTCTTCTTCTTCTTCACAGAAGATGCAGAGCCATTTAGCTTCCTCTTCTGCCACACTGCCAAACAGTGTTGAGCGTAACTGGTGAAGGCTGCTTCACTTAGGCAAAGAGGCCACTGGCCCACCAACCTCAGTCTGATCTTAGCCAGCCCTTGCCTGCCTGCCTCCTTACTTAACAACCAGCCCAGGGGACAATACTGCCTGTGCCTTCTAACCCCACCTGTCCCAATTAGCAACCACTGAGTATAGCAGTGTTGGGGGGTTGTAAACCTTCTCCTGGGATGCATCTGGCATTCCTGCTTTTGCATGGCCAGGAAGTCTGGGAAAGAGCATCCTTATCTGGGAATTGTCCGTGAACAGGTTGCGAAAAGCCACTCTTAACATTCCATTCCTTGGCACTTGTCCTTAAGCTTCTACAAAGCAAATCATCCCATTCACGTGGGCTGTGTGTTCAAACAGGGGCCAAATTTTTATATATAGAAAAATAAAAGACTATTGGGGTATTCTATGGGATGGTGGATTTTTCTTTAATCTGTATATAACGTGTAATTTTTTAAAAAAAGAAGAGAGGAAAACACACACACACACACACTTATTTTATTTCTTCCTTAACAGTATTTTATTATTATATTATATATACATATATATATATTTGGCGTTAGATATCATTATTGTGGAAAAAATAATAATGTTAATATAAGTAACTAGTGAAGGACCAAAACGGTGTATAATTAAAGGCTATTACGTCATATGACCAATAAGTAGGACGTAGAAGGGTAAATTGTTTTCCATAATTAATTGTTTTTATCATTGTCAATGTGCCAAATGACCCATAAGTAATGAAAGCGCTAATCTGGCAGCCAGCTTCCCAGACAATCATATGCTGCGTCTAATTTGGTTTCTTAAAAATAATCATCATAATATTTCTATCATATTTGCATTTAGAATTAAGTGTTCTATTTATTTTCTAGGGTAGTTTGGTTTGGCAAAACAAGGCGGGAGGCAGAAGAAAATTGCAATTATAAATATCTATATTTAAAAAAAAACAAAACACCCGCACAATCACACATGTGTGAGTTCTGCGTCAGAGAATGCCACCCGAAACAGAAATCACGCCAGCAATTATGAGCAGTATTCACTAGCGGGGCTTTTCTTTTCTTTTCTCCACAAACCTTAGTTAAATAATTACGTTCTTTTCTGCATTTGTTTGTTTTGTTTCCCTTTTACCGAAATGCATTGAAATTAATTGTGTGAATAATCATGTATGTTTGGGCCATAGCGAGATGAATAATGTAGGACTTAGTGGAAGCCAAACTGCAGCAGAACAGAGATAGCGACGATTGCAGCTAGATGGAAACAATGTCTTCCTCTGACACCCCCACTCCTCAGCACCCAAACCGCAAATGCCTAAGAACAGTCCTTGAGGTGTTCCGTATTCGAGTCAGATGGCATTTATTTCAAGTGTGCCACTTACATTAGAAGATACCAATAATTATTGTTTTAGGAAGTCCTCCCTCCCCTCCCTCCCCTCCCCTCCCCACCACCAAAGTCCTGCTTGTATTTTTGGTCTGATCTGAGCAGTTTTCAGCTGTCCTCCAAAGTTCCCCACATGTCGTGCTGTGTGCAGGAGGTGATGTTTCCCACGGGTCTCTTGACATGCTGGCTACTCTGGGGCGGGTGCACTGAGTGCAGAATTCTAGCAGACGAGCTTTGCTGTTGCCATAAGCTTTCTGAACTTTGACATCAGTATTCAAACCCCATGAAAGGTCGAAGATTCTTTTGTAAGTTTTTACAGTGGTACCTCGGTTTTCTAGCATCTCAGAAGCCGAACGTTTCGGTTTCCGAATGCCGAAAAGCCAGAAGTAATTACTTCCGTTTCCAAACATGCCTTGGAAGTTGAACGGCTTCCGCTGCATGTCCCCCCCCCCCCAATTGAACTTGCAACCCAGCCTTTTGCGCCTCGGTTTTCGAATGTTTCAGAAGTCGAACGGACTTCCGGAACAGATTACGTTTGAGAACCAAAGTACCACTGTAGGTTTAAAACAAACAGATATGGGGCGTGTAATTGCCCTATGTTTCTTCCCTCCCACCCCGCAATGCTGTTATAGACATGCTTCCATGGAAAGGCGTGAACTGGGTGTTGTGGTGTCTAGACTGGACTCCTTAGATCAGCTCCATCTGCATTGTTTGAATATAGAAGAGAGAGGGCAGATGCTAAGCTTGTAACTCTGGAAGACCAGAATGATCTTGCTAATGGGATATCTTAAGAGGAAACTGCCCCCTTCAACTCATGTTTACTGGCACGTTTCACGCATCCTGAGTGTGAATCGGGGCTGATCCTAGAGAGCAGGGAATTCTGTATGGAGTGAAGTGCCTTCTCTGTCCAATGCCCCATTCCCCAGGCTCTATATCTCGGTGTCTGTATGCGTAATAATACCGATCTCCTATTTGTTCCATCCATTGTTGCCTCTCTGTTAGTATGCCCCTCAAAAAACCTGGTTGGCTATTTTTCTGGATTGTTTCACAGACGTGTGCTGCAAGAGCATATATCTCGGACTGCAAACAGCTTGATGATTTCCCTAAGGGGCCCCAAATGTCAGGTTGGGTCAAGGAATAGGAAGCAGCACCCGACCCCTGCTAAAAGATACTGCCTATAATATGTCAATGATTTGGTGGAGGGATGCAGGGGAATGTCCCTGAAGTGAGTCACCTGAAAAAGTGGTTGAGATGGGGTTAAAGTGTGGGTCAAAGCATCTGCATTCCTTTGTAACCAAAATTAGACCCCTTGCTCTTTCAAGAGAGCCAGTGTGGTATAGTGGTTAAGAGCAGTAGACTCGTAATCTGGTGAACCGGGTTTGCGTCTCCGCTCCTCCACATTCAGCTGCTGGGTGACCTTGGGCCAGTCACACTTCTCTGAAGTCTCTCAGCCCCACTCACCTCACAGAGCCGCTTTGAGACTCCTCCGGGTAGTGATAAAGCGGGATATCAAATCCAAGGTCGTCGTCTTCTTCTTCAAGCCATTAAAGGGGCCAGCAA